TTTTTGCTACGTGGATTCCTACATGACAGGGAAATACCATCAGCAAAGCGTTTTGAAATAAACCCTGACTGCTAGAATTACAAATATGGTAGCATTGTGTTCAGGTCATTATATCAGTCAGAACACATATATGTACATTTTTCTAGATGGAATCACTGTTGAAGAGTTAGCTACACTTCGCATTAACACTTATTGTGCACATTTTTGTATCGATTTACTTTGTGTTATTCTATTATTGTGAGGAATATTTAACAATGGTTGCCGTATCGACAAAAACGCTTATGCCATTGATTCCGCATGCAATCTTACTGGTAGTAGTGCACGTCAACATCCCAGCAAGGATAATAACGGGACGGATATTTACTAAAATTGGAATATTGTCCTTCAGCCGACTCAACTTGAAAAAGACTATTGTGTAATTGTATAAACAAAGGATGTATGCGTTATGAACAGTTTGAATACTGTTATGAAGGTCAATGAAATGATATATATCGTTTCACAATTGACTTTATTCTGCAGCACTTTACTGAACACTTTGATATGATTTCTTGTGAAAGAGTATTTATCAATAGACTGTAGTTTCAGGCCCTTACATTTCCTACATTTGTGTTAGAGCTAGGTTCTTTAAAACAACCAAATCATTTTACTTCAATTATTATTATTATTAATATTTTATTATAATTATTGGACCATGTCAGGTTTTATAGCTACATTGTTCCACAGAACCGTGTTGTTGGAAGTAAAATCGTAATGAGAATGATTACTTAATTAGTTTTTAATGAAAGTTTTCATCATGATGTTTCTATTATTGGATTATCCTTCTTTAAATCTGATTTAAAGGAGTTAAGTTGTACAAGAGTGTTTGAATAATATTTTTGCTTAATAAAGCTTTTTTGATACTGGTTTATTGAGAACTTCCTGGCGTTTTTGTGGCAATAATAATAATAATAGTAATTAAAAGCTTAAAATAAAAATTATAATACAGTTTACTGTCCAAATTACTCTTGTTTTTTTCTGTTTTTTCAAGCATGTCGTATTTAAATAACCTTACAAAGATTTTCTGTCAATGATATATCGACATATTTTCTTAGGACCTTTGTTTTTCATCACAGCACGTGCTTTCAGAATATCTATTCTCTCCTTTTGGGTCATCTTTTGACCGAATGCGATCTGTAAAACAAATATTTTTAGATCGTGCAGTAAACAAGAGAAGAAGGTGAGCGGCAAAGCAACACTGCAGAAAGCTCAACGAATCTCCAACTAACTATGAAACTCCACTGGGCTCTCAATCGATCCTTTATACATAAACTGTAGACTTGATCCATACACAAAACAATGACTTTAATTGATTCCAATAATGAACTGACTGGAGCTTTCGATTTTATGGAAGTGTTTACCTTCTGTTGCTAGAGTGTTTGCTGGTTGTGATTTGTTACTCTGCGTATAGAGCAAGTATAGACATTAAAATAGAAAAGGCCGAATTTCGCATGCCCAGTCCCAATCCAGAGATATTCTAAATCCACTAATCCTAATGTGGCATAATGCATTAATTGCTAAAAGCAGCACGACTTCATATATTAAGTAATTTACAGGTAAGAATACGGTTACCCGTACTATTAGGATAAATTTTAGTGTCAATAACAAAAAATCGTGTCCCAACAAAGGTTGTCATAATATTGTTAAGAACCATACACGTGTATAGGTCGTGTCACTGATAATAATAATAATAATAATATCGATTGTCGGAATGGACTGTGTTCGTTACATACAAAAGACATTACTTTTATTATTGATCATGACTCACTCATCTCTAAATGTGCCTAACTAACCGCCTGTCGTTTATTTTTCTTTTTACTAAAGTTTTTACGATAGATGCTAACTTTTTTTCGTTGTTATCATTTACGATTCAATGGAAGCGAATGTATATATATTACACTGACAAAAAAAACACTCTTACCAGATTTCATATCATTCAATTTGATTTTCTGCTAAAAACAAGATGTGAGCGCAGGGATAAAATTGTGTATACCCCATTCCTAGAATTGAAACATAATAGCACATGCACAAAAAATAATTTTGTTGAAAAAAGTTTATCAAAATAAAGGCAAATAAAGGCAAATTTATATATCATAGAAAAAAAGAAAAAAATGTAATGGATATTTGGTTTTAATTTTACCAAGGTGTCAAAGGATTGCCACGGTGCAATGAAAGCCTTTTCAGACAAAGAGTATTTTTAAATACTCTTAAAAGACCGAAAATTGGACAGACTCACACTTTATAGGGAAGACATTAGGGACACATTACACTACATACGGGCAATTCCGATTCTTGTGACCATTATCCAAGCTTCTATCTGCAGAGGCGATTTATTCCCATTTTCAGTCCAAAGAATTTCTAGTGTAACGACATCAGGCTGTTTGCGTTAGAAAGAATACACAAAAAAACAACTTTGGGTTAATTAATTTGGCATTGATATGGGTTCAGGATAACGATTTCCCACTAAACGAAACAACATAAATGCTGACTGTGAAGGCCATAGTACAATTATCGCTTTTTAAAATAAAGAAACGTCGATGCGGCTTTTTGGGCAAATGTTCGATCGAACCAGCATGAGTCCTTGGTGTCATTTTAGTCGATAAAAAACACGCAAATGTATCAACCAAGTCACTTTAACAGACGAAACTTACGTTTATGCACCGCTCTTGGACAGTACTGGTAGAATAGGTTCTCAATCAAGGGTAAGGTACATTTTATAATTGTTTTTTTTTTTTTTTTTTTTTTTTTTTTTTTTTTTGATGGTTTGGTTCTTTAATAAATGAAAATAAAAAAATCATTTCTTTTACCGTTTAGCAGCAATTATTCTTCGTTTGGTCGTTTGTTTACTGATTTCTTATACACGGCCTTTTTTATATATCAAATGCAGGCAACGTGATTCGGAAATAAATAATTCGCTGACATATGTAGTGCTTTAGTAAACGTGAAAATGCAAAGAAACCATACTTGTCTATACTCAACTGCAGTGAAATGCTAAAAAATCTTCTTAAATGTCTGAATTCTTATTTCTCACTTCCAATCAGCGATGTGTGATACTGTATGAAACAGAAAATTGTTTAGGTTGCCAGACCAAGATTCTTTTAATGGTATCATTCACTTTAGTTAGTATTCAATTTTTTAATCATCGCTTCTACTTATTTATTTATTTGTCTATTTATTTATTTTAATTCTGAACTGTCTTTGGACAGTTTACCAACAGGTCACTGCACCACGTAAGGATACCGATTCCGTCCAAGGGTGCCGTCAGTCGTTCAGTCAACACATACGATGGTTACCCGTATATTTGTGACGCTCCTAGTATCAGGTATGTTAAATGATAGAGATTTATTTGAAACCAAATTAATGGAATTTTTTTACCGGTATTGGGTGTCATTGTAAGCAGACCTTGCTTGCTTTACCGTGGATACATACCGGTAGACTACAGTATGTGTAAAATACAATGTAGTCTCTGTAATATTGTATTAAATTACATGCATCTGCTTGTTTGCGGCACACTCACACACGCACAAAATAAGTCACTACAAGTTAAATTACTATTTGTCCTACACGTTCAAATTAAAAAGCTAAATGAAAACGTAATGCCTTTCCCCGGCACGTTTCAGTCAACCTGTTAGCTCCGGTCAACTGTGGGTACAGCCCAGCTGTGCCTGCCACGTGCAGCGCGCCCGACCCCCTCGCTACCACCGGTCAAGCGGAAATGTTCTGTGTACCAGGTATCGCGGATACTGTGTGGTACATTGACTATAACGACCAGAAGACATATTCAGAGGCCGAGGAGGAGTGTAACCGCGCCACCGGCGACTCCTGGAAGATGGCGTGGATAGCATCATCCGCTGAGCGCCAGGCGCTGTATGACCGTATAAAGGTCGTTTCGGCGTTAAAGTGAGTAGCTTCATTGCCAACCAATACTTTTAAGGGTGATTATTTAATAGTTTGGTTCAATGATTTAGATGACAAATAACGCCTCGCCGGTAGTGGTACTCAGATAGATAAAACTATCCTAACGTGGGCAGAAGTTACAAAAATAAATCACAATTTAAAAGCACTTAAAATATAATGGAATATGAAAATCAGTAGCTAATGTGTACGCATAAATAGAATCCAGTGTCTTTTTACGAGGCACATGTATGAAACATTTACGCGTGAAGTAATTTTGTTGTAAAAAAAAAGGTACAAAGATGTTTTTGTGTTTAACCATTTTATTCCCTCTGAACGGCGGCTAGTTTTAAATATGTCTTCAAAAGATACCCTGTATATAGTATCAAGCAGCCAAAAGTGACCCTCAAAGTTTAAAACCAGAATTGCAAAAAAGAAAAACGTTACAAACTGACAGCTTTCAATATCTGTATTTCAGAAAAGAGTACGTCGTCTCCTTGAAGGACGTCAATCCATCGGGTGGCGGTGGAAACCGAGACTGGCAGTGGCTGACCCCTCATCAGAACGCTGCAGTGTATATGCCCTGGCTTAACGCGTGCTCTAACGGAGGATGCGGGGACTGTGTAACGTTGGACTGTACCTCAGATACCGATGCCTGTCAGTTTAATATGGTGGACTGTGGCCAACAGAGTTATGCGGTGCTTTGTCGCCATGGCGGAGCAAGTAAGTGTCTTTCCATCAACCGTACCTTCGATTTCTGAAAAAATATTATGTTGACTAGCTGAATCATAGTTCTAAACCGTACCAAATGGCACAGTTCGTTACTAAAATAACAAAAATTTCGGGGCTCTTCAGCGGTCCCCGAACTCCTCACAAAGGGGGGGGGGGGGAGGAGGGTAGGCTTTGCATCCGCGGACCCTTCTCCCCTTCAAAAATTCCTGTATTTGCCCCTGGTTACTTTTATACATGCGTCCGTCTTTTTATTGTATTTACTTCATAACTTAAATAAATAATGTACATTTCTCAATGCAATCAGCTGTTAACAATGAACCGACCACACAGGCCCCGACAACTGCAGCCCCTACGACCACCACTACAGTCGTAACAACCACCCAGGCACCCACAACTGCTGCGGAAACAACCACCCAGGCACCCACGACCACCACCACTGTCGTAACAACTACCCAGGCACCCACAACCGCTGCGGTAACAACCACCCAGGCACCTACGACCACCAGTGCTGCTACTACCACGGAAGCTGAAACAACAACGATGGGTGCAGGTCTGTACGCACTGTTTATTACCAAGATCGGTTTTTCTGTTCAACTTATACAATCCAATTATCAAATGGAATCAGTTATGGCCCGAATGTATTTGTAATGCCATTTAGTGATTCCTCTAATTCGATTCTGTGGTACCGGTGTACGGTAACAGGAATGGAATTCCTATGAATGGAAGTCCGGGCTCCCATATGATTTGCACAGGTTAGGGTTAGTTGGAATATTGGGTTAGTATATGGGACGAATGTCACCTGTTCAAAGTAATGGGAAGAGGACTACTGTACGGTTCCTAACGGACTTACACCCCATTTCCATAGATTAGATCGACCTACTTTAGATCGACCTAACTCCCTGGGGGTTCACGCTAAATAGCTGTCAGCCGGGCGGACTCGAAAGTTAATTACCCCTTACAGCTTGTAGTAGGCAGGTCGGACATTTAAGTCGGATTATCTGAAAGTAATCTAGTGAGACTCCCCGCGGGGATAGATCGATCTAAAATCTATGGGAATAGAGCCTTACATTTCTGTTACACCGGGTTTTGTTCTAAAGTTTCCACTACCGCTGCATTAACTATGGGCGCCATAGCTTGCGTTATGAAAACGCTCATTACCGATACAAGGAACCTTTTGCAAGTGTTTCATGGATATTATTTGTTAAAACGATTTGAAAAAAGTTTTAAAAATGGAGTTTATAATTTAACGTTTGTTTGAAATTTTACGCTTTGTCCTTTGAAATCATGTGGGATAATTATAAATGCCCGGAGCCAATGAATTTTCGTCAAAATTGTTTTGAGCTAAAATATAAATGTATTCCGTAAGAATCGACATTATTAAACCTTCTATTGTCTAGTCTAAATGTGAGACAACCCTATTAATTACAGGCTGTTTTTTCGTCGCCTTAGTCGCTGAACTAAAGGCACGTGTATGCGCATGTGTAATTTACCTTAAAATAGATAATCAATTGGAAAAGAAGAAGAAAAAAAAAGGAAGAAAAGAAAAACGTGAAATTGATACATTTGCGGACGATAGAAATTCCATAACACACCAGTTGGTCCCTTAAGAAATATCGATCGATTACCAATAGGTATTTACACTCTCGTTTTTGTTTTGTGCGAATAACATCAGTGCTCAAGGTACGTGTCGCGTATGTCGAAACACCGCCCAGATTTTTAACGGCTCTAAAATCTAAGTTTTTTGGGTTATTAAATGTGTTCATTTTCATGCAATGATTTGCTGCATTACCCCGTGAAAACTGGGTATAGACAGAAGCCAGACATTCGGCGAATGGTTCAAGTTTCTATCTCAGTTACCTCTTGTATTTGCAGTGTATTGATATTTCGTTCTTTTTTTTTCATTGTCATTAAACGATTAGTGATTGGCGCATGCTCTGGTTACTTAAGCTGCGGTAATTAATCAGTCTGTTTTTCTTTTTTTTTTAGCACAAACTGTAACCTCATTCCCTTTTTGGTAAAAAAATGAGATTCACTCCCTCTGTCTGTCTGTCTGTCTGTCTCTCTCTCTCTCTCTCTCTCTCTCTCTCTCTCTGTGTGCGTATATATATATATATATATATATATATATATACTGTCTAACTGTGCAGGTAAAACTGCATGTTTTTTAAAACACACGGTACAGTTCAAAGGCATTGTGGCTTTTTCATTCATTTAATCCCCAACCCCTTATTTACACCTTCATTCAATGTATTAGGTCAACTGTCCTCGAATTTTCACTTTGGTGTATTTCAGATTGCTCCGACCCTGGTAATATCACCAATACCAACCGTTCTCCGGCCTACCAGAGTGCCGGGTTCTCTGAGGGGGACACAGTCACGTACACCTGTGACCAGTGTTCATTCCTCGAGGGCGAGACATCCAAATCCTTCAACAGAACCTGCTCCAATAATGCCTGGAATAACGAGCGGAACTGTTCTCGTAAGTCTACTGCATGTGTGGATGGAAATATGTTTTTTTTTTAGTCAACGTGTGCTGAAGTGATGTGCGGGGAATTGTAGTCTTGGAATGGATGTGGTCCACTCCCTAACGTTAAATGCAAATGTTTTCATTTCCTTATTGTACGTTTGTTCACCTTTTTATTTATTTATTTATTTATTTATCTTGACAGGCTACAGCTGCAGTCCGCCTGGTAACGTCACCAATGCGGTTCGTTCCGGTACCGGTGAACTTTGCGGGGACAACCGCCAGTACCAGTGTTATCCGGGCTTCAAGATCTGGTCAGAAGGACGCTGGTCACACACCCACACAAGCACCTGTCAGGCCGACGGCCAGTGGTCAAACCCGGCCACAGAGTGTGTAGGTGAGCATGGACAGAGGCTTGTGCTTGGTTCACAAAACGTTTAAGATAGATAGGGAATGTGTTCGGTATTTTAACCCACGTGCGAAATACTAGTCCGCCGAGTTCTTTTCATGACGAGTTTTAAACCCGAGACATAAAGTTGTGTCCGTGTGACGAAACTTAGGGTCCGTGTAACAGAGAGTCCGCCCTCCATTTAATTAGAGGTTAGGGTAAGGCTGACGAAAATAGGTCAAAATCTAGGGCGAGACTTACCTGTTTGAATTCAAGGGAACCACGGAAACCCTCTATAATGGGGACTCTCTGTCACGTCACACCGGCACATTCTGACGGGCGGTGGTATCGCCTTTCACAAGTTCACTTCCTTCCGTTTAGTTAATAATTGTCCGTGTCGCACGTTGTGTGACTCTTTGATATGCAAATACTTTGCTAGCCTGACGATGACAGTCGTCATTATTAATTGGTAAGAGGAACAATTGTTGACATTTTTATTGGACTTACAAGTCTTATGAGTGAAAATACATGTTACAGGTTAACCTAGTACGTTACTTAGTTGAAAATATTTTGCTAAAAACTATCAAGACAGCAGTAAAAATTATTTACAAATTATTAAAACTCACAACATTTAAAGCGAAGCATAACACCATTTAAGTAGGCTGTTTAAAAACTCTATTACTTTTGCATGTTCAGTTCCATCATCAAAACTGTTCCTACTAATACTGATCTCCAAATGTGCGACACCATTTCTAGCACGTCACAAACTTTATAATTACAAATGTCGTGACCTCTCTACAAGTGACACAAATAAAAAATGAAACCACTTGTGTCGCATTAAACGAAAAAATAATAAAATGTGTGACTTTGTTTCTAAAAATCTAGTCCACTGACAAACTGCCAAAACTTTTTTCTAAACTAAAGTTGATGCCTTTTTCTACACCTGTTTTATAGCGTTCTCCTAAGACTACGGCACTGTTACTTTACCTTTAGGGGTCATCCATTTTTTATCATCATTTTCACAAATCTGTTGAGAGTAGATTTTTCCCAGACACCCCCCCCCAGAGCATACAAGATGAAAAGCTAAATATGACGACCTTTGACAGCAATGTTGACTAGCATTTTCGCTATTTTTCAAAAACCTACATCCCCCCACCCTCCGGCGTAAGGTTTGTACACTTTGAAAATGATGATAAAAATGGATGGCCCATAAAAGATGTAATTTCCATCTGCAATTACAAGACTTGGCAAAAACAATATTCTAGTACAACAAAGTTAGGCTCACATCTGGGTCGTTATAGAACTAGATGAATTCGTAACGTAGAGAGTGGAGGCGCTTCGTTCGCTTAAACTGTGTCCAACTTTCGCAGCACAACCAGTCTGCGTTTCAGAGTTCCAACGACGATAATTAAAACACGATTTGAAAATGCTCACCAACTCGTCCCTAAAAATTCGAGCCGACGCAACGAAAAGAAAAAAGTTGGTGTTGTGATTCAGCAAACTGACGAGGAACAGTATTTCCCGCCCGAGACTGGTGCGTTCCACGGGTCTCCCACGCCGAATAATAAAACCCCTGGAGAGCTGCCAGTAGAATTCAAAGCCGACGAACGGCCATGTGAGCAGGAGGAAGGCGACCAGTGTTGTTAATAGTAGAGTGTTTGTTTTATTGTACGTCGAACCATTTCTGCCAGTCTGCTGCCGTCCTCCTGAAAGTTGTTGTCTTACAAAATGGTTCCTTTTCAGTTTACATACGATGGCGAATGTCATAGCACCGACAGCTACTGAGATAATTAACCCTCCAAATATATCTGTATATAACACGGCGTGCCGTATATTAAGCGCTGTTTCTAAAGATGAGTAGCACATTGCCAGAGGAGGGGAACTCAGGCCCAAAGCCAGCAGAATGAGGGCAAAACAGGTCATCAAAGCCTTTCGTCTCGTGCACAGACTTGCCGCTCTAAACGGTTGATAAACTATAATAACCCTCTCCACCGTTAACGCCAATACGTACAACTTTGAGAGGAAAAGAAAAGTGGTCTGCAAAGACTTTCCTACTGATTTGGCTGTACATGGTGTTTTTGCTGTTTTATCAAACATGATGCACTCGTACGAAAAATACAAAAGACGCAGCTGGTCCGCGCCGGCAAGGAACAAAATGTAAACAAAGCTGGATTTGCGTCTAAGGCTCGGACGTCGAAGAACCACAAGGAAGGTGAGGAAGTTACTAATCAGACCGATGGCAGTCAGATTATACAAAGTGGTACACCAGCATGTCCACAGAGGAAGCCAGCACCTTTGTTCCGAGGAGAGCTCGGGGTAGTCGTAGCTGCGGGAAGTACCCCGGGTCATATTTTTATCCGCACCTTGTCCATGCATCTCCGTACAGTGAGTCTATCTCATTTACCGTCAGAAATGTTGCCTGTAAGTAAACTCTCGCCCTTCTTGGTGGTCGACGTTACTATATACTAGTAGGCTCAGGAAAGATCACAACTACTGGTACCTGTCCTGTTCAGCGCATTGTTCTAAGTGGTAAATGTCACGATCAATAAGTGATATTATACGGGTCGCCGAGCTGTACGTGAAATGTAGCAGTTGTATTGTGGAGACTTAGACCGCATTCCCAGATATTAGATCGATCCAACTAGATCGACCTAACTCCCTGGGGGTTCACGCTAATTAGCTGTCAGGCGAGTGGGCACGGAAGTTAATTACCCCCTTACAGCTTGCAGTAGGCGGGACGAACATTTAAGCCGGACTATCTGACAGTAATCTAGTGAGACTCCCCACGGGGATAGATCGATCTAAAATCTATGGGAATGCGCCCTTAGATAATTCACGAGTAATGTTCATGTGCAGCTCAGTGGTGTATCCTGTGATTGGCTTCTACACCGCCCTAGCGACATTTTACTTATACATGTTTAAGGCTTACTCTATACTTGAGTGCACTTGGTGAAATTTATTCCGTGCAAAATTTTTTTTTAGGGGGGGGGGCAGTAGAAAAGTTGAAGAATTAGCCAGAGACTTAAAATTTCTGTAATATCAATCTGTGGTAATATCAAGTCCTAGTGGAGGGTATTTAGGACACCTAGTGGTCACTTTCCTCGTCTTGGGCATCGGATGAGGAGGGTCGACACAAATCTTCTACATTTTTTTTCACGCAATCTCAATTGCAGGATAGAATTCTGGCACATGCAAAGTATCACTTAATGGGTAATAATTTGTTCAGCTAGTGGCGCACCTGACGTACTTTAATTTCAGAGAAGAGGCACTTACTTTTTTTTCAGAGGGGTGGCAATGTAAGAAAGTTACCAGAAAAGATCACTTCTCCCCCTCCCATTTTGTCATTAAAATAGTGATAATAGTGACGGATTAAGTGGGAGGGGTCGGGGGATTCGGTCGAACACCCCCGCTCCCAAACTAAGTTTTCAAAGTATAATGTGCATGATTTTAGAGAAATGAGCCCCTCCACTCGATCAAAGTCGGGATTGCCTCTTTCTCAATTTTTCTCTCTTTTTGTTACTCTGTGCGCCTCATTCAGTGGATCAGGTACTGGTCGTAGGCATTTCATCCTATTGCTAACTCATAAACAAAAGTTAACTCCCATAGGGGAGTACTCCCTAACCTTTAATATTTATAGACTTAAACTTGCAGCTTGCACGACGTGGCATCTCGTGAGACAAAGGTCAGTTATCTAACTAACCTGCCTCCAGGGAATTTAATTAGTAGCCGATCGTCCTAATGGCCTATATGTGAATCATAAGCTATTGCCCCTTATCTAAGATCGTCTCAGCTATTAATCAAATTGGTTCCCGACTTTCATAAGCACCTCGGTCCATGTAGCTACAAAAGGTTTATTTCTGACGCTCTTATTTGCTTAAAAATTCAGTGAAACATGTGACCACTTGAAAAATTGCTAAAGGTGGACTTTTTTAACGAGCAGTGTACCCGTCTTGCGACGTCAATTTACCGCTACACCGCGTTTTTTTTTCCTCGCAACGCTATTGGCAACTTAGGATTTTTTTCAGTGTCAACGATCACTGCAGATTAGCGGATTACATAGTTAAACTACCTATTATAGCGCACAATCCTGGCGTAGAACATTTTTACGGATGCTCTTATAACGTCACAGGACTCATTTTGGATATCTCCTCTTAATTTCCGTGGTTTTCCGATTGTCAACTTTATTTGATAAGACCAAGCGTGCGTTCAAATTACAAGCGGTTTTTTTTAATTATTATCATTAATTACTTATTTATTTATTTATTTATTTATTTATTTATTATGCTTGCAACCTCATACATCATACATGTACCGTTGTAGAAATGAAGTTAAGAGGTGTAAACATTGCATGGTTACTCGTACAGTCCCATTCGGTTTACCCCTTCAGGTAGAAAATCAGTTGTTGGGTCATGTTTTCACCTTCTGTCTACTAGTTTGCTTCCTATATTGTGCTGTGTACGTACTTCCTATGTTTTATTTAAACAGACAACAGAAGGTCACACATGTATATATATTATGAGCATTTGGCAAACATTTTATTTCGTAACGAGCGCCAGCAGTTCCCATATTTTATTGATCATATGGCAAATCCTATACATATGAAATAGACCTACGGGTACCTTGGCAATACGCATGTGAATCGCTGTTGTGAATCGCGATTGAGTGCTCTTCACGTTCACTACACAAAATAAATCGGCATTTTAAAGTTTAACCAGAAAAGTTAATTTATGTATGGTAAGTAAGAGAACATTAAAGGTGTGTTTATATTTTCTTGCTTACCTTTAAAAATCGCACTCGTACATTTGCCGCTGTTTTGGGAGTTAACAACACGCTTATCACTTTTTTTAAATGATAGTAGAGAAAAATAAATTTTACGTCTCTTAACTAAAACGCCCTTAACGCTGTCACTTATATTAAGCTCATTACATACTTGGACGTCTTCCAATCTACCAGGGGTATAATTACTTTGGTTCTTGACTTGGTGCAATAGCTCACGGGAATCCAACTCCGTTGGCTATCTCTTATACATGTATATACCGTATGGAATTGACAGGTTTACAATTTGCTTTTGATAAAAACAATTAAAATGCCAGTGTAAACTAAGGCAAGTATCAGACCAATGCCAAATGTAACCTCGGTTAAATTATTTATTCATTTATTTTTTAGTTCTTTTTTTATTTTTTTATTTTTTAGTTCTATTTTTATTTATTTATTTATTTATTTTATTATTATTATTATCTTTTAAATATTATATACCTTTGGACTCGAACTGTGCGTTCAATTTCCAAAAATTCTGCCGGCGCCCCTGAAATAAGCGTGTTCGTAATGCCAAAGGTAACAAAACCGATATAATCATAGAAACAACACTCTGTTCTTATATCTCGTTTAAAAAAATTTTCCCAAGAGACCAATCACGGTGGGTATTCAACTGTCGGAGGAGCTTTCACTGGATTAGATGTTCTTTATTCCCCCTTTTTTTCCAGAGGATCCAGTCAACTTAGGCTGTGTCCAGCCCACTGATACGAGCTGGGCCAGCAGCTATACCACTGTCACAGGCACACGCACGGTAGACGCGTGTAGAACGCACTGTAAAGATCAGGGGATGGCGTACTCCATATTGGGTAAGTACCCCGGTACAGTACTAGCATATAATACCTGAAAACTCGAGAAACACCCGCAGTATAATGTATTTCAATGAAATGACATTACACCGACATTGGGCTTGAAATTATACACCATGGTTTTGGTCTGTTGAAGGTTAAGATAAATCTGCAAAGGGGCCACTTAACCATATTTACCTGGAATATTGTTGTAACAACAATGTTATAACAAGGTCCATTTACATGTTCATTACCGTCACCCGTTACCTACATGTAGCTACACAGATGTTACACCGCGTGTTTTCTATAAACACGTATCTTATGCACAGATACATATACATTGTACGATAACATAAATGCATATATTTTCCAGCGTACGGTAACAGGTGCCTGTGCTCCAAGCCTGGGCTCAGCCATTTCAACTACGTCACGGAGCTCGCTCGCAGTGCAGAGTACACCGAGGATCAGCTGTTCAAGTGTAACCAGACCTGCCCGGGGTCTTATGACTCTTACGAATACTGCGGCAACTCGCACGAGGATTATTACAGTTTATACGACACAATGAGTGAGGGAATATTATAATTAAAATTTATTATACTATTCTTTTTCCTCGTTGTCGGATACTTGGCCATGCTATACTCAAAAAGCAACGTGCACGCAACGCACGTGTGCATATAAAAATACAGCACACCCAGTATATGTAAATATAATGGAGTTTCTCAAGTGAAATATACCTCGCAAAGGCAATATTTCTTGTGATCTTTAAATTTTAAAATGTTTATATTAACGTGGATCTAGATTTGCCTACCGTTTTATTTTGACACTGTCTGTTTACAGTTCATACCACGTGGCAGCTGCCTAGCGGAAACGGTCTAACTACCCGGATGTCAAATGCTGCCGACAGTCTGAACTATCCGGAGATGTCGCCCCAAATCTGCTCCAGGTTCTTCTCCTTCTCTCTCTCTCTCTCTCTCTCTCACACACACACACACACACACAAACACACACACGCGCGCTCGCAGGCAGATATGAACAGTCGAAGGTGTCAATGTAAAGTGAGTAACATGCATACGCAAACGCAGTCAAAGCCCGAGTTTTTCCGGCTAGATGAGGTTTCATTAATTTTCAGTATTCACCATATAAAGGGTTTTTTTTTTAAGACAATAACATATTACTACATTTTATAGGTACTGCTACGGCAAAAGTTCAAACTACAGCTATGTTCTGGTGCGGCAGTGGGACTGTTATTGCATGGAAGAAGCTGATACCGATTTAAGTAAGGTTTAACGAGTTTGGCTTATCCAGTTTACATAGAAACACAAAAAAACCAGTGCCCCAAACATACTGTATTTACTAGTAGTGCACAGATACAAGTTGTAACTCATTGTTTCAAACGAAACCCTTGTACTATCAATCTAGCGTGAGCCATGTAAGACGCCTGTTAAAAACAGATAAATGTATAATCTTCTACATACTGTTTGACGTCTCTCTCTCTCTCTCTCTCTCTCTCTCTCTCTCGTACCGTAAACTAGGCAGACACCCTGCGATTCACACGGTACCTTATTGCTTGTGTTCTTCAGGGGACATCGTGGATAAGGTGGCCAACTGTTCGTACAATGCCGAGAACTGCGGGGGCACTGACAGGGTGTTCGGGTACCCTTTAAGTAAGTGAAGCTTTCTTGCCATTCAGATGCTTATACCCATGTAATGTATCTTCTGATGATAGATATTCATCCTAAATGTCATTCCTCACTTATGTATAGCTCTCTGTGAACGGAATATGTATTTACGTTATTTCAGGATTTTACCCGGGTTTTCCCGCCAATGAACTTTCCATGACAGTTAAACTATCGTCCTCTACTCACAAACCACTGCTTGATTCTTCTCTGATTTTGAATGCGACATTTCTCGTCATTTCTTATTAGATAATTAATTATTAGTGACTGGAAAGTCATTTAGACCATCAAGTTTCCCTGCGCATTTTCGATGGAAAATTGGACACGAAGTACTTTAGGGGTTTGAAGTTATCATTTTTAGGTCTGAATTTGGGAAGATGAATATCTATGAAGTATATAAACTGTACATATTTATCTTAAGATATATCAGGCATATATACAGGTACCATAAAACATTACCTCTGTGAAATTTTAAGGAACATTTCACTTTGATATCAAACTGTTACTCTCTGACCACAAGGTGTGCTAGTAACCTGCACAAAATGATCATATCGCTTATATTTTAATTTTGTATAGTATATAATGTACGAGCCCCTGCTATCAAAGGGTATCACACCGTGTACTTCCAGGTGAGGAACCGTATGTCTCCAGCTGCCAGGATGTCTATAACGCCGGTCTCTGGATCCATGGGACCTATTATTCCTCAGACTCGTCGTCTTTTTATTGCAATATAAAGGGTGAGTAGTTTGGAACACGAGCACTGAATCTTAATCAGGCTTGTGAACTCCGAAACATTGCTGTCAACGCTGTGGGTTATTTGATTGGTGTTATCATTATTATTATTATTATTATTATTATTATTATTATTATTACAAGTAACAGTAGTAGTAGTAGTGTTATTGACAGCAGCAGCAGCAACAGCAGCAGCATCAGCAGTAGGAGTAGTAGTAGTAGGAGTTGTTGTAGTAGACAAACTGTAGTAGTAGTAGTAGTATATGTATGTTTCTTGTAATGCCGTTCTATATGACTAAGTACAGCGAAGATCTCTTCCTCCAGCCGTTGACTTCCATATTATAACTGCCGTATATTCATTATCAATCCAGAGAACTCCACGGCGTGTGACCAAGGCTGGATCTCCCATGGTGGTCACTGTTACAAACTGACCCACGTCCAGAAGAACTTTGACCAGGCCATCCAAGCGTGTGCGGCGGACAACGCCCACCTTGTGACAGTGAACAGCGCCAGCGAGATGAACTTCCTGAAAAACTTGATTCCTAGTAGGTTGCGTATAGTGTTGCTTTCGGTCTTAAGTGTTTTATATGGACATATAAAAAGCTTCTTAAGTGTTTTTTATCAGCTGAATATTCATGTCCTCAAGGATAAAATCGTCAGCAGTTGCAGCATCGACATTGCTGTCGTCTCATTGATGATGTCTCCTTTTATCGTTTGTATAAAGTGTAAAAGTGGCGATGACGTCATAGGTCGATATTTTATTGGGTGGTGGCGTCATCGGGTCAACAGCATGTTTTATAATATCTCGAAATCACCGATATATGATCAGATGTTAGAATTTTAGCAACCTTATTGCAACCTTGAAGCTTTATACATTTTAACCCAAATAGCAATGTAATTTCCAATATATGTGAAGTTTAATTTCTGTACATGTATCAATGGCTGAATTAACCTTTATCTAATATTTATTTTCTATTATATAAATTTACATTTAACTTTATTAAGCTCGCCCGTCACTGCTGTACGAATGGTACTTTTTCATTGGATTCTACGACTTCGCTGACACTAAAGCTAGCACGTGGTTGGATGGTGCCTTAAGCAAATATAAATATTTCCACGGCACCTCTCCAAATACCTTCGGCTACAAGTGCAATATTTTGATGCGGTCACAGCAGTACAAGTGGAGGGACTGGTTATGTTCGGAAACGGAAGGGTACATATGCGAAAAATCACCAGGTATTAAATTCTCTCTCTCTCTCTCTCTCTATTGTATAGTATAATGCGGTATTTATATAACGCATCTTATACATAAGAATAGAAAACTACAATTGAGTATATATATATATATATATATATATATATATATATATATATATATATATATATATATATATATATATATATCATACCATATACCTTTATATCTTAATATATTATGAAGATTTATAGTTTTCAGCTTGTCAAAATACACATCGAATTTTGATATTGAATTCAGACACCATTTTATGATTTGTGAATGACGTCGATATGTTTCCGAAATGACGTCATGTGGCTCCTGTTGTAGCTTTTTTATTATTTTAACTTTCAATCACATTTAGTCGGATTTTCTTCTATACATTCTAGCATCAAGTCAGAATGTGCATATTTTATTTAAACGTCTTAACAGTATCAACACGCACTATAAAGCCATCTATTTATTCGTATCTTCACCATCATATCATGTGGTGATTAGTGCTGTTGGGTGAAAACTGCCGTACTTTCTGCTTCAGAGTACATAGGATGTTTTGACAGAGTACAGGATGGTGAGGTTGTTCTGACTAACAGTAAGATGTCCATACAGTACTGTAGACAAACTTGTATGGCGAAGAGTTACGACTACGCAGCCTTGCTCAATGGAAACGCATGCCACTGTGTAACCAATGGTAAGGCCGCTATATATATAACACGTTTATAACCAGAAAAATGGTCGACTATATTATTCAATACCTTATCATTGCTAGGAAAAAAAGTGGATATATTGATTCGTGAGTATGTTAATTGGTCCTTTTTAAACAGTTACGATCTTCGTGTGATTTTCGTTGCATTGCGTGATTGCCTATTCGCACTTGTTCCATAAGTCTGTATACATGTATCGACAATATTAATTTAATTGCTTTTTTTGTATTTTTATGGTAAGTCAAAGTAAAAAGTAGTACTTAAAATATGAACATTTAAACTAACGCCTGATGTCTGAGCTCTACGGCACTCTTTTGCGATTGCCTAGATAACCGTGTATTGGGGCAGGAAACTGTATGTTCTCTTTCCGCTAGATGGCACCAATGCCACGGCCTTTGACCTCCACTCTCCTCTCCCTATGACGTCATGCTCCACGCCGTGCCTGGTCAATGACAAACAGTACTGCGGCGCTGCTAACAAGTTCAACGTGTACCAAGCCTCAGGTAAGTGGAAGCCATTTTAATGGTTTGTCTTCTGTTTGGGATATTTTCATGTTAATTGTTTTAGCATTTACAAAGGTGAGCATCTGAATCATACTGAATGGTCATCATACTGAATGAAAAGCGCAATGCCACATGATCTAATAGATTTTTGACCAGAAGCACATTCTTAATTCTTCTTTTTCTACTTCTTTTTCCTCCTTTCCCCTCTTGCTCCTTTTTCTTCTTCTTTTTCTTCTTCTTCTTTTTTTCTTCTTCTTCTTCTTCTCCTTCTTATTTTATCTACCTGGGCAAACACCATGCCATAAAAAGATGGTTCCTTTCAAATAAATAATAATAAATAGCATTATCCTGTACACCATACAGTCTCCATTTGTCCTCACAGGTCTATCCAGCCCAGAATATGCCCAGTCCTGCTACGAGCTGGAGATGGCCGGACTGCCCAGTGGAGAATACATCATCAAACCTTCTGGTGGCTCACCATCTACCATCAACTGCACTATGGAGAGCGGTAAGAGCGAGCGGAGAGATGTGAATATATAAATGAGTCAAATTCTGGAGTAAGAGTGAGTGAGTGGTAATATTCAACGACAATTCGACCAAGGCATTCACTTGTCAAAAGATTCTTCAGTTTAAATCTAATGTGATCTATTGAAGGCCTTTTGTTTTATTTTTCTTTGTGCCATTGGAAACAGGGGGTGGTTGCATGGTTGTTGTGTTTGTTAATTCTTTCATACATTGGATATTAATTGATACATGTTTAAGAAAAAATGCAGTTTGTATATAGCTTCAAAATGACAATCTATGAGGTAACCAGAGATTTTTCAGGCACTTATTTTAAGTCAGATATGTACCGTATAGCTAAAAAAAAACACGACTATTGGTACGCGTATGATCGATAACTGATTTAATTCTCGTAAGATTACCATCCGCCCCCTTCCTTATGAATAGGTATTACTTTATTAAGACAATGCAACCGTTNAGTATACAGTGCTTTTCATTGCTGATCTTTTTTTTCTATGACGTCACAGACGGGCTGTGTTCAGTGGGCTGGATTGGGCACAACGGGCACTGTTACCTCTTCTCAGCCGGATTTAACTCTTTCACCAATGTGCGCGCGATCTGCAAGGCACGTGACGCAACCATGGTAACCTTGGATGACGTCACGGAGGGCACATTTCTCTACAACGTGAGGGCAAATGTGCCCGCTCTTTATGACAATTCAGCATACTGGCATGTTGGGGGATACGCTACAGCAGGCTACCATCACTATCAGTGGAATGACGGGAGGTTGATGAAATATTCCACGTGGATGTCTGGTCAGCCGAATCTTCATACTCAGCTCTGTTTAGCGGCGGATATGCAAAACCCTCCACAACTCTTAGATTTACGTTGTACAGACAACCGACATTACGTATGCGAGAAATATGGAGGTAGGTTCAGCTCTAGGCATATTATGACAAGCTTAGGTGCCAAATGTTCTATTTTGATAGGATGTGTATGATTTTCTTTATTCATCTCTAATGTCAACATATTGTGTGCAGTATAAAACCCATTGTCACCTTTGCATAGCACAACGTAATTTTAATAAACACAGAAATTTATGTGGCACAAAGATGACTCTTTTTGACTTCAAATCGAAGATTTAAAAAGCAAGTTTTAGATAAAACGCTTTTATATGTAAGGATGACTGTTAATTTCCCTATCTTCAGTAGCCTTCTCCTGAGGTAAAGAAACAGCATGCAACTAAGCTTTCATAACCTCAAACCTGTGTGTGTGTGTGTGTGGTGTGTGTGTGTGTGTGTGTGTGTGTGTGTGTGTGTGTTTGTTTTCAATTTTGAATCGTTCTGAAACGCATACCCCAAACTAGTTTAAAAAATGCCCAGTAAACGACAAATACTGTCGGAGTATGAGGGCGCATTATCACGGCAAAATGAGTTATTGTAGCCGACCAATCACATTCCAGGTTACAAAGGCTGTTATGGGGTTGCCAGCACGTCGTACCGTGTACTGGCCAATATCCCAAGTTTGACGGTGCAGCAGTGCATTGAAACATGCCGGGGAAAGAACAAGGCATTTGCCGGACTCAAGCAAAAAAGCTGCTACTGCTTCGATTCCATAGGTAAGACATTTCAAGAATACTGTGCCATACAATAATAACATTTATTTGCAACTAAAGGTAGTTGGATTGTACAACAATGTAAAATATATACACACCTGTATAAATACATTGCGTTATATAAGAACAGTTAGACGCCTAGTCATTACATACATTTTGCACTGGGACGATCTCTATAAGAAAAAGGATAACAGGTTTACAAAGTAAACATGATTATTATAAGTTCATGATAGCAATAATGATAAGTAATATCTTAAGAGTTTGAAACAGTGGATAAATTAGATAAGTTGGTTCAAAAACGGTTCCCTTTGTTGTTCAGCGTTTCTCTAAGTTTTGAGTTGATTGACAACCATTTTTGCAAAATCCTGAATATCAAATAAATTTGCCCTAAATATCGTTCGATACCTTACCCTTATATTTGATTTCTCAGTGACGCAAACACAGGCACACAGCGTGTGTGACGTGGCATGTGAGGGCGGGGCGTACCAGAACTGCGGCGGTACGGGCAATAGTATGTCCATGTACCAGATAGGTGAGTAGTTCTGACTGACCTCTATCTGTTTGACTCGTTGGAAACTTTTCATAATGACATGTAAATTGTATGCACCAATATACTGATTTTGATTAAAATTAGAGCAATTTCAAACATAATTATTAGGAAATAAATAAATACGTCAGATATGGCATATAAATATAGTACGAATGAACGTGTGCATGGATACCAGCAAGTAGAGTCCTTTCCCTTTTTAAGCAAATATTGTTTATTACCATACGCATGTATGAAATAGGCAGATAGATAAATAGAAAGAGAGAGAGAGCTGGGGAATTGAGGAGGGTGCTCACGTCACATCCTCGATACAATATGTCCATAGTCCTTTTACATGTAGCATGTGCACACTGATTGTTTTCAGACAAGTACCCGAGCCTTGCAGACAGCTGTGAAGACCTGTACGACCAAGGAATTCGAATATCCGGGGATTACAAGATACAACGATATGGGGAAACCTTCATACAGACTTGCACATTTTACGGTAAGTCTCTCGGCTTGAAATATAGTCAAAAGTTATAATGCACGTTCTACTTAAAGCGCATAATGTACGAGTGGATGGTGATATTGGAACAGCAGATTAATAATGACAAATTTATCCGCCGAAACAAGAGAGATCGCGCGCCTAGATATTTTAAATATTTAACCTTACCCTCTACGCGGAATAATGACGGCGCGGTATGATTTTCAAGTCAAAACCGACATTGTCTCATAAGATGTTGTCGATGATATAACATGAAAAACCAGGTATAAATTGTTAATTTTAACAACTCTCTGTTAGAGAACAATCCTGATTGCCCTTCCGGTTTCATACGCTGGCGAGGAGAGTGCTACAAATTTGTGACGTCAGCGGCATCATGGAATGCTGCAAATGGCGCATGTCTAAACAGCGGTGCAGAGATGTTGTCCATACTTAACAGTGAAGAATGGGACTTTGTTCAATCTACGCTAACAGGTATATTCAGCGTCATATTGATACAGCTGTTTTATATAGTAATGATTATATTTTTAAGAAAAGTCACAGAGAAGACTTAGATTAGGCTTATCGTGCAACTAGTGTCAGTGCAGGTACAAGTTTCACTGTTGTCGTTTAATGTTCTCTTTGCGTATTTAGGGGATGGCACCAGTAAGGATATATACTTCACTGTATATAATAAGTCGTAAATATAAGTGCAAAAAAATTTGAGACTAGGATTTGTAACATCATTAAATAAAAGTGAACGATCTTGCAAAATGCAGAAAATAGATTAATAAAGACACTGGCTATATAAACGAGAGAAATGTCTAAGTCTAGTCAATTTAGCCTTTGATATGCTTTGCAGCAATTTTATCTATTATTATTATTATTATTATTATTATTATTAGTTCGTGTGTGTGTGTGTGTGTGTGTGTGTGCTGGATTGTTTGTGCCTTTGCGAACTTTCGCTCATTCCAAAGCTGATCATATGCCATTCCAATGAGTCACGATCTGATTCCTGGTTCTAGGCATTCAGTACAACGCAGCGAAGGCCGGTTGGTTCACGGGCTTAAGGGACCCATTTGGTGCCAAGCAGCACACCTGGAGCGACGGACACCTGTTGACATGGAAACCACACAGTATCCAAGGAACAGCCAATCAGTGCGTGCAGTTAAAGAGATACCACACAAATGGCAATTCCTACAACGCTGTGTCGTACCACTGGTCTTACGTCAGCTGCACGTCCTCTTTGCCTTACATATGTAAAATACCAAGAGGTGCGTATGGCATGCAGGGATGTTATTTTTTTACACTATCGGCGGATTTCTGACTTTTTGGGGACAGAATATCAGTTTTGAGATGGACGCAGATCTGAATTAAAACTGTATTTTGTATTAAGTTCATTCTGTCATATACTAGAAGTACTGGTGAATGCAAGGTGATATCCTTAAGTGTGGCACCTGTCTACCTTAAAAAGGCATCGGTAATTCCAGGGGCGGATTCAGGCCGTCTTCTGGGTCCTCCGTAAGACGGTCAGATTTTCAAGTTTACATTGACGGGTACCTACTTTTTTCTGTCAGAAGACGGTCAAAAGATGGATCAACAAATATGATATGAAAGTCTGTCAGAAAATATATCTGGACCCGCCCCTGATTTCTGCAAAACTACATAGATTCAAAATGATTATATATACAGTGACATGAGCATGTAAAACAAAATAGAGGCCTATCAAAATATCTGGAAATGGTTTCTCTAGCATACTGTAATGTCAAACGTTGTGGAATTTATAAATAGTGGTGATACGTTCATTTTTTGAACCCCACGACTGTCTCTCAACCAGTACTCTTTTCCCCCCTATCTAGACGTCATCGGCTGTGTTCCCAAACCGCCAGATTCAAAACAGACCCTCGTGAAGTACGCAGGCGCAATGAGCAACTCCCTCTGTCGGCAGATCTGCCGTGGCCAGAACAGCACCTATGCCGCCACCAATGCTAATTTATGTACATGTTATAATGACCTCACCCAGAGCGAGCGCCAGGCCGTGGCTAAGGCTGGCTGTAGCGTCCAGTGTCCAGGCAATGACGGACAGAGATGTGGACACGCGTCTCCGGAGAGGGTGACATTAAATGACGTCGGTACGTACAAGGAAATAAGATGGACTTACGTTAAGCATGTAAAGATGGATTTGATTAACGCATTTAAACAAAAGATGCCATTTGTCACCACAAACTAGTCACTGCATTAATGGTGACTAAATACATTTAAGTTTACTTACATTCTCATTGATTTTTATTCTTTTTAGAAATGAAAAGCACGGGTCTTGATTGACATATAGAAATCGTTACGTATGTCATTTTAACAACAACTATCTGCCATAACTATAAACTGATTTTATATATAACAATTTAATAACAAAGATCATTGACTGCAGTGCCAAGAAAATACAATGAAGATGTAATTATATATACTAGTGTGAGTGTAAATTACCCATATCTGTGTCCATATCCAAGGTGTCACGTGCCCAGCGGATTGGGTCCTGGAGAATGACCGTTGTTATTACCATGACAACAGTACCTGGGTCAAGTATTATGACGCCTACCTACATTGTAGAGACTATGGGGTGGGCGGGACTATCCTCAGTGTGAACACCCAGGCGGAGAGCGATTTCAGCAACACGTACGTACATGTAATATTCGCTACATTACGATGTCTACCTGTTAGGGCCTCACTCGCACTTGAAGGGGGGGTTGGGTTTGTGGTAAAGTTATACTAACGTGGGTGTCAGGTGTTGTTAAGGTGTAATAAAGCAAGGGGGCAGTTTTATTGTTTGCCATTCAAATATGTGCTACAGTAGCTACATGTCTATGGCGTACACATATAACACCCCTGAGTATAGTTCTGATTAAATCCCTTTCTTGTAATAAACGAAGGATGCGTCTTTTTACAGACTCAATATCAGCGACACGTGGATAGGTCTGTCTAAGTTGACAGCGTCCTCCTCCTGGAAGTGGGACGACGGAAGCAGTGCCTCGTGGACCAACTGGGCCGCCAACCAGCCAGGGACGGAGAAGTGTGTTACTCAGAACGAGACTGGGAGCTGGAGTACGACCCCTTGCTCTGAAACGCATCCGGTCACGTGTGAGAAACCGGCTGGTGAGTGATTTAATGCGCGTTTGTTTGTAAGAGAGAGAGAGAGGGAGAGAGATTTTATCTTCGACGAAAAAGGTAGTTGTATGTGAGGGCGCTTGAAGGTGTTAAGATGTCACGTAATTTCTCCGTTGTCTTTTATCTTAAAGCCCCTCTCCTCCCCCTNGCCCAAAATATAAATCAGAATGAAGATTTTCTTGCAGCTAAAAACTCGCGTCCGATGACTTCCAGAAGTAAACTGTACATTGACCTCTGGGAAGCTTTGTGCATCTCACGTGATCTCATATGCAAATGAGGGTGGTAGAATTTGCATGTAACATGGATTATATGTGTATTTCAACTTATGCTCACAGTACAGCACTTATAGGAAGGTTTGTAGGTTATTCTGTCCTATACTACTACCGAAGTACTGGTGAACACACGCGGCCGATTTCATAAAGGAGGTTTAACTAAACCTAGTTTAAGGCTAAAACCTAGGCTAGCAAAACCTGGTCTAACTCAAGACCTAAATTGCATTTCACTAACAGTGTAGGAAAGCCAGAAAACCAGGTTTAGCTAAACCAGTTTTAACTTGTCCTTGACCTCCTGTTGAATATAACAGGATTACATAGACAAAGAAATCACTGAACTGTGTCAATCAGGTAGGCGTAAATGAATAGATGACACACACTAGTGTTGAAGCAGATAAGCTGTTTAGCTCATATGAGAATAAACTTTGGAAGTAAAGAGCACGTGAAAATGAGCCGAAAGAAAGCGGAGAATTTTTCTGCTGAAGAGAAGGGGTACATCTCAGAACTAATAAAGGAGAAGTCCAACATCACTGAATAAAAAAATGATGTCACATCAAGTCAAAGAAAAAATGAGGCGTGGAAAGAAATTCTAACAAGATTGTCAGCACATTTTCCACAAGCCGGGAAAAGAACTGAAAGGCAGGTGAAAGACTTCTGGAAACGAGCGAAAATGAAAGCTAAGAAAGAATTTGCAAATGTTAAAAAAGCTGCAAAAAAGACTGGAGGGGGCCAAAAGAGGTTGAATTAAGTCAAGAAAATCAAGCAGTGATAGATCTTTTTTCCAAGCTACAGAGTTAAACCTGGGTCTGACCAGGTTTATTTTTAGACTTGGTCTGAGTCCATAATTCGGGTATCAAAAACTTAGACCTCAATTATGAAACACAATCCTGTCTAGACCAGGTTTAGAATGATGTTAAGCCAGGTTTTACTAGACCACTGGTCCAATACTAAAACCTCCTTTATGAAATGCAGGCAATCCCTAAACCTGGTGTAAACTCACTTTAGACCAGGTTTAACTTTAAACTTCCTTTATGAAATCGGCCGATGGTGACAACCTTAAGTGTGGCACCTTTCTACCTTAAAAAGCAATCGACATTTCTACAAAACTTCATAAATTCAAAATGGTTACAAGTACAGCTAAATGTGCTTGTAAAACCAAATAGGGGCCATCAAAATGTCCAGAAATGGTTTCTGTAGCATCATACAGTAACAGGCGTTGCAGTTTCTATAAATGGAGATGATAAGTTTATTTTTCAAACCCCACGATTGTCTCTGATGTGCCTCTCAACCAGTACTCTTTTCCCCCCATCTAGACGTCATCGGCTGCGTTCCCAAACCACCAGATTCAAAACGGACCCTCGTGAAGTACGCAGGCGCAATGAGCAACTCCCTCTGTCGGCAGATCTGCCGTGGCCAAAACAGCACTTATGCCGCCACCAATGCTAACCTTTGTACGTGCTATAATGACCTCACGGAGAGCGAGCGACAGGCCGTGGCTAAGGCTGGGTGTAGCGTCCAGTGTCCTGGCAATGACGGACAGAGATGTGGACATGCGTCTCCAGAGAGGGTGACACTAAATGACGTCGGTACGTACAGGGAAATAAGATGAACTTACATTATGCATGTTAATATGGATTTGATAAACGCATTTAGACAAATGCCATTTGTCACCACAAACCAGTCACTGCATTAATGGTGACTAAATACATTAGTTTTTGTTTAAAATTCTCATTGATTTTTATTTTTGATTGACATAAAGAAATTAATCCGTCATTTTCATATTAACAAAGATCTAACTAGCTGTCATAACCATAAACTGATTTTATATATATAACAATTTAATATAAAAGATCATTGAATATGTACAGTGCCCAGAAAGTGCGATAAAGATGTAATTATATATACTAGTCTAAGTGTAAATCCCCCATATCTGTGTCTGTATCCAAGGTGTCACGTGCCCAGCGGATTGGGTCCTGGAGAATGACCGTTGTTATTACCATGACAACAGAACCTGGGTCAAGTATTATGACGCCTACCTACATTGTAGAGACTATGGGGTGGGCGGGACTATCCTCAGTGTGAACACCCAGGCGGAGAGCGATTTCAGCAACACGTACGTACATGTAATATTCGCTACATTACGATGTCTACCTGTTAGGGCCTTACTCGCACTTGAAGGGGAGTTGGGTTTGTGGTAAAGTTATACAAACGTTGGTGTCAGGTGTTGTTAAGGTGTAATAAAGCAAGGGAGCAGTTTTATTGTTTGCCATTCAAATATGTGCTAGCTACATGTCTATGGCGTACACATATAACACCCCTGAGTATAGTTCTGATTAAATCCCTTTCTTGTAATAAACGAAGGATGCATCTTCTTACAGACTCAATATCAGCGACACGTGGATAGGTCTGTCTAAGATGACAGCATCCTCCTCCTGGAAGTGGGACGACGGAAGCAGTGCCTCGTGGACCAACTGGGCCGCCAACCAGCCTGGGACGGAGAAGTGTGCTACTCAGAACGAGACTGGGAGCTGGAGTACGACCCCTTGCTCTGAAACGCATCCGGTCACGTGTGAGAAACCGGCTGGTGAGTGATTTAATGCGCGTTTGTTTGTAAGAGAGAGAGAGGGAGAGAGATTTTATCTTCGACGAAAAAGGTAGTTGTATGTGAGGGCGCTTGAAGGTGTTAAGATGTCACGTAATTTCTCCGTTGTCTTTTATCTTAAAGCCCCTCTCCTCCCCCTCCCCCCCCCCCAAAAAAAAAAAATAAATAAATAAATAATAATAATAATAAAAATGGTAGGAAGAAAAACACTCATGATGTCAATTAAAATTTAGGAAGATAAACTCTAGCTGAACCGAACTGAACTTTAGCTAATATTCCACTGCGCAATGTCAAAACCTTTCTATCGGACTGTTGAATCTATAGGTTCACCGGATGCGCTTCCGTCCACCTGTGACAACCTGTACAGCCAGAGGCTTACCCTCAGTGGGACGTACTTGCTGTCAGGAGGTCACGAGACGTGCGGGCTCACAGGTATGATAGAGATGCGTATAGAAATGCGTACAGTTGCAGGCGCCCATTTGTCTTCATATGCATGACTTTAACTGAATTTAAGAGTCGGGCAACTTATTGAATTATTTTGTTGTATTTTATTTATAATGGGTGAGACGAAAAACTTTTTTGGGTCTTATTTTTTAAGATAAAAAATAAAGATGACATTGTTACATTTCAGATTCGTCACGGTGCCCTGACGGTGTGTCATATGCCTTCGGAAGGAGTTGCTACGAGTTCGTGCTCAGCGGGCGCACGTTTGAGAGCGCGCGCCAGCACTGCGTGTCCCACGGTAAACAGTTGTACAGTCCTGACACGGGGGAGGACGCCGCCATGTTGAGAAACGCCATCTCCAAGATTACTGAGTTGGCCGAAGTGAATAACTGGTAAGTCTTCTTGTTTTGTTAAATCTGTTTTAATAGCCAAACTCAACAACTCTCTCGGCATGCCTAGTCGTACTTAATTATACTATTTCTGTATAATGTTCTAAAAGCAAAACAGGTGGATTAAAATTTTATTAGCGTTTCGTACCTATATCTGTTTTAACTTATTTTATTATGATTAAGACTTAAATCCTGAAATCATTTCTGGTTAACCGCCATGTCTGTCATATAATTTTAAAGATCCATCTACTCTTTTTAAAAGCATGCTGTCACTGGTGTTAAAATGAAACATTTCTGTAAGGCACATAACAGCATTGATTTAACAGCTCATGGCGGTATCCATTCTAAAAAGTATTAAAATATATATTGCCTCAGGTTTATCGGTCTATATGATTTGGACCTCGATCACCATTACACAACCACAGACGGGTCGGCGTTGTTCTACTACAACTGGGCGGCCTCGGAGCCTCGCTCTAACTACAAGCGCTGTGTACGGTGGGGGGACACTGGCACTTGGTTTAGCGAAGACTGCGCCACTTCTCTGCCATTTATATGCGAGACAAATTCGGGTACGTCTTCAAAAGTCAATGCGAATTTCTCAAATTATCTGACACTGTTAATTTTCCGACAAAGAATTGCCCGGTAGTGTAAGCTAGTAGGTAACAATATACATGTACATGACAGTGGCTGGAGATGCTGAGCAATTTTTAATCCATTTTTGTCCATCCCGACACTGCGATCCAACCCATTTGTACGCAAAACTGAACAAGGGGTCTGTACCATGGAAATTAACCAACGCCCATAAAATGTAATGCAGTGTGTAATGTATTCTCATAATTTTATTCGTCAAGAATAAAGATGGCACTCTTCTCTCACGGAAACATTATAAGCAATGAGCGGCACTGTACGTGAATAATTTATCAGACGTTTCAAATAAAAGACGTAACTTCCTCACTTCAATTCTACATCTTCCATTGAAAAAATGACAGATGTTCCGCTCTTATATTTTAAAGGGTACCAAGGTTGCTATAACGTTCCTTCATCAACATCCGGGTACCGGAACAAGGTGGTCTATCCGCGCATGACATTAATGACGTGTAGAAAGTACTGCCGCGGAGTAGAGAGGCCTCAGCTGTATGCCGGAGTGTCTGGACAAACCTGTTACTGTATGAGTTCACTGACGACCTCAAAAGTCGCCGACTCAGCTTGCGATGCGGTCTGTCCTGGCAATCCGGTACAGACTTGTGGCGAGAACGGAGTGATGACGGTGCTGGTAACAGGTATAGTTGATATGTACATGTTTGTTGCCGTTTGTATTTATGGATTCATGTGAATGCGTGTTTCTGTGTTTTTCGTGCGGTTGTGTAGTATTAAGATATACCTAGTACACTAATGTGCAGACTTCGTTAACTTTTGGGCCATTTCATTCTCACGAGTAAATACCCTTATATTTTTCTTATAATCAAAATATATGCTCAGAAGATAAGATGATGTCTACCACTATATGATAAGATAATGTTCCCTATTTCAGTCATGTATAATATACGGGAGGCATCCTGCGAGGACCTATACAACCAAGGTGTCGTAATGCCCGGATGGTACCGCATATTTCCGCGAGGACACGGGAGCATGGCGCGAGTCTATTGTCATGGTCAAGGTAACTCGATATTTTCACGAATTATCAAGCAGTAGGTAGGATTTCATCCACAAAATATGCCTTGACACAAAACTGGATTGTAAATGTCAGGTCAATTCACAACAACAAAAACTAGACCATCATGTCTTTTTCACCATTTTACCTCCCCTAAAAGATATATTAGGGCTCATAGCGTTAAGTTTAGTTATTTTTCATTCTTTCAAAGCTAGGAGATGCCAAAAGTATAACAAACTTGTACTCACTTGTGACTACTTATCATGATTTTTGATTCGCCTAGACTCGTTATAATCTGAAAAGCGCAGCGCCAGAAAATAACAAATACAAGTGATGTAGTTATCAGGGCATCTGTTGTGCGTAAAAAGGGTATACGTTATTAATAAAAAAGTTAATATTTCCATTTCAGAAAGAGCAAATGATTTTCTTCTACCAAGCGTACAGGATAGTGACATCGCTGTCTCGTCATCTGAAGGAACAACAGGATCTGGTGCTATATCGTATGACGGCAGTTATGGAAGGCAAGCACCGTGCTGATAGTCTCTCTCTCTCTCTCTCTCTCTCTCTCTCTCTATATATATATATATATATATATATATATATATTCTACGTGTACACATGCAAGTAATGTATTTAATTTTACTTTCCGGTTAGAAATCGACCAACATCAGTTACCGTCGCTAACCGCCATTTACTTTTGCAGATTGTTTCAAGAGAGCGCTTCGTTATATGATGCTTGGCGGCCGGCAGAGAACGATAGCAACTCCTACGCATCTGTCACACTCCCTGAAGCATCCTATATTACCGGATTCGTCACAAGAAGTGAGTCCGCAATCTTTATTTCAATTTCTTATTTACTTATCATTATGATGTAATAGGCACATTTTCTTCTCGTTAAAAAACACACAATCCATTGTCATCATCGAAAAATTTGGGCACTTATTAAAAGTACGATTTTTCCTGCCGACAAATCTGTAAGCTAGTCCTAGGCCCATCAGAAATCATGATAGGTAGTCGCAAGTGAGTACAAGTTTGTTATACTTTTGGCATCTCCTAGCTTTGAAAGAATGAAAAAATATTATTTGTGCAACATCCAATTCACCCGAATCACCTCATATTACTACTCAAATATACTACCTGTCAGGAGTTTTATATACTTCTCTTGCATACACCTTTTTTGTCGCCTGTCGTTTTCAGAGCCCCTGAACTGGTTGGAGAAATTCCAACCTGCCACAAATGGATTCAACTTCCCGGTGCCCGAGCTTGACCTGTCCGGCTTGACCTCTCTGACCTTTGAAGTAAAGGCCTGTAAACATATTGGCATGCTTTTGACCACAAGTGCGGGAGAGGCCGCTAGAGGCAGTCAAGGTTACAAAATCATGATAGACAGAGGCGGTGGAACCTCCATTATTCAACTAGATAAGGGGTCGGAGGTAAAAGTCAGCGTCACAAATACCAAGATTGCAGATTGTGCGGAATACAAGGCGTTCTGGGTGAGCTGGGCTAACGGTGTCATACGCGCAGGCGCCGGAAGACGGGTTGGCACGGGAACAATTATGTCGTGGACGGACAGTCAAAGACGGTATACTGTGACGTCACTCGCACTGTTGACGTGGGGTAGTTTTCCGGGGCTTCACTGGAGGTTTCCAATAACAGGTCGGAATATAATCGTACAATTCAGAGATAAAGTTGGTTGTATAAACATGTGCATCTTAAAACGAGTAATAACTTAAAGTGGTATTATTTACGTTTTTTCTTCCTTTTTTTTTTTTTTTTTTTTTTTTGTGATTAGTGAAAGACAGGATAACAATAAATACAATGAATATAAACAATAATTATTAACCAATCAATGCGAAAAGCATCGGCGAAGTATCAAAGCAACGTCAAATCGTTTTAATGCGGTATTTCGAAAATAGTCTTGAATAATGCAAGAAAAGTCAAAATTTCCCCCTTTTTTGTTTCCAGAGCCCCAAGGATTGGTATACGCATTCATCCGTGCACCAGATTCGGGTGCTTCCAAAAGCCACGTTGCTGGTGTGGACCTTTCCAATTCCACTTTTCTCTCCTTCTCCGTCAGAGGTTGCTATAACGCCAATATCATGCTTGCCGAGAGCGCCACAGAGGCGGAAAGCGGGACAGAAGGCTACTACATCATTATAGGAGGTTCGTCCGGAACCAGCGCTTCAATAAAACGCAGTTTTAGTCAATCTGGGTCAAATGCCGCAACGACGACGTCGTCTCGTCTTACAAACTGCACCGAGTACCTGTCTTACTGGGTGAGCTGGAGGGATGGGTTGATAGAGTTAGGAACGGGACAGCAGTATGGGGTTGGTATGTAATGAAGTCTAATATGTATTTATGCTCCGATTACGGTAATTAGTTGTTTTTTTTTCAATGGGCAAAAATATCAAACTTTCATATCCGTAATTTTTTAGTAAACACATTAAATACATTTTATATAGTTTCCGTTTCCAGTGGTTTTATTAAATTGAATACAACTATAGACTAGATTGATTTTAAATTTTGCTGCTACCATTCAATAAGAAACTTTGATATTAAGAAAGTATCACTTAAAAATACAGTATCTGTAAAATATACAAATTCCCACATTGAATAGATCAAGCAATCACCGTACATGCTGACAAACATGCAAGGGACCAAAGTGGTCAAATCACAGTGTATACACATTAATAAAAGCAATTTCTCTTATTTCACGAAAGGAAAATTTATGGCAAACAATAACATTGACATACATATTTACATTGAGGGCTTATGAATGTTGATGGATATATAAATAATCATCATCATCATCATTTAGAGCCTATAGTGTTCCACTGTTGGACAAAGGCCTCAGCAAATAAATAATAAGTCAACTATATTGCAAGTTGAATTTCGCATGAAGGTTGTTCATTGATCTAAATACATCTTTGATACTAGGTGCTTTCCTGAACTGGACTGATTCCAACCCCAGGACCGTCACAGCCTTAGCTATATCCACAAAAGCTGGCTCGTCAGGAATAGAATTTGAAATAAACGGTTTGTGTTATGTTACGATATTTTGCTGTGTTGTGTTGTATCTCATCGCACGTATTGTAGTTTTCATATGCTGTACACTATTATATTATATTATATTATATTATATTATATTATATTATATTAAAAGATCAGCAACAGTAAAAACCTTTCACCTCAAAAATGTAACGTGGCACTTAATAGTTTCCGCTTTTAATTCATCGATCTTTTGAAAAATTATTGCACAGTGATAGCTTCACAACCACGTAAGGTTATAGAACGACTTTCTTGACAGAAAAATGACGGCACTTTCTGAGACCCAATTAAATTGAAATGATTAATTTATCCTTGTCGTTTTTTTTTTATTTTATTATTTTATTTTTATTTTTTGCGGCGCATTTTGATTATTCAAGTGAAACAAAAAAGCTTGGGTTATCAACCAGATTTTAAAGTCACTAGTTTTAAAGAGGTAGCAAATTCTACGTACATGTTCCGGGATCTTCTCTTGCTCATTCCCAATGAAGCTATCGGTCTACGTAGATCGATCCAACTCCGTGGGGACTCTCGCTGAATGCAATCAGTTTAACATATAAACACGCCTCCTAATGTTTCCGTCGTACTCCAGTAATCGCCAGCCTTTTTGTATTCTACACAACGCCAGGACATGTGTTAATCTGATTGCATTCAGCGAGAGTCCCCGCAGAGATGGACAGATCTATGTATTCCAATAGTTTCAATGGAATGAGTTTACAATAATCGTTATATTAAATTAAGGCCAAAGAAACTGACGTTTACTTTTAATGCTATGTGTACCTTTTCTCCCCAGCCCCGGAGTCAACGCAAAGCTACAGTTCCAGACTTCTGTATGGTGATTCAGAAAACGATCTAACGTACTACGATGCCACTAATGATAGCACACAAGCCGTCACGGTAATATGATTTAGGTTAAAAATTAATTGAAACTCGCAGTTGTATGCTCTATTCCAAATTTAAACAAGCATGGATTGCTACCGGATTTGAGTCACAAGGTATTGAAATCTCATATCAAGTTGAAAATAACAGTATTTTAGTGTAAAAAAGTGCTTTCAAATTGAAAACACCTGTATTGATATATGCATGGTCACAAACTATAGAAATGTTTTTGATTTGGTCAATGAAGAGAATAAATTGGCATTGATGGCCACAATTTTCAACAAACACCGAGTAATCGTAACATCTGAATGAATGCCCACAAACATCCTCGCCTCTGTTATGAATACACACACATCTATATAATACCATAACTTCAGTTCGACGGAAGCTCCGTGCCCTACCAACTGGTTTACCAATATCTAGAGAAGCCAAAGGTTGCAAAGCACGTACGCCTGGAGTTTGACAACACAGACCGCGTGAGATTCGATATTCTTGGCGTACCGCTGTCTCAATTCGCACGTAAGATTATCATTGATGATTTCTAAAATCAAAAACCATATTGGTTTAAGAGAACGTCGCAGTTTATGGATAACTCAAAATATCAAAAGCGATTTGGTTTTTTAAACAATAATTAAAATTATTCAAAGTTATCTGTGAATTTCGACAACTTAGTTCGTTACGTGACTGAAATATCCAAAACCGACACCTAGATATTAAAAAAACATATTTTTATAACGTTACAGAGGACAAAGGTCATGTTGGCTGTTTCGTTGAGTCTGCTGATGGTACCGACCTTGACCTTCCGTTCCTGGTGGGCAACCTGCCCAATGCCACGGCGTGCATGCTGTCGTGTGAGGCACAGGGATACAGATACGCGGGGATAGCCGGAGGTAACGAGGTCCTTGCGAAAAAATTCAAAATTTGATTTTTTTTCACGTGTTTTCATTAAGCCGGACAGGACGGACTATCTGAGTTAAATGCTGGTTTCCAAAACAGCCCATTTGGATTAAATGTGGGTGACAAGTACGACTTATACGTGTCAAATGTGGGTGACTAGTGCGGCTTATATGGGATAAGTGTCAGTAGCCGGAACGACCTATCGTGAGTTGCCAGTACGGGCTCTTAGAGTTGGGTATCTAGTGACTTTGGGCACTAATTCGGTTGGTAGCAACACGATATCTTAGCAAATGGTCTTCACACACACGTCTTCTGGAACGTAAAAAATAAACAAAAAAATTCATCTTGTGCGAAAACAACTTGGGCGTGTAACTATTACTAAATTCTCTACATATATTTTGCTTTAATTAAAAGTACTAATTAATCAGTTTATTTGTTTCCTCAGGTGTAAATTGTTCCTGTGGTACTACCATAGGGCGGTACGGGATGGTGAAGGACTACGAGTGTAATGTACAGTGCCCTAACATGCCTGGCTACAAGTGTGGGGGAACGGGAAGGAACTCCATATACCAAATATGGGGTAGGTGACTCTGTACAATATTACAACGTAACTGCTGGTGACACGATTCGCTAGTTTTTCGCAAAATTTTTCGTTATGAATTTTCGATGCTTCCCTGGATTAACTGAAGTGGTTATTTAGATATTTTACTAGATGTATGGACATTGAATTATAGCCAAAAAAGTTTAATCCCTTTGTCAGATGATTATACATATGTGCGGTACTGGAATTGGATCACAGGTACACGTGTTTTATTTCATATTCAATTGTGATTAATTAACGGTATGGTTTTATTAATTTCGAACAGAGACAACATGTCCAGAAGTCCCAAGTGTCCAGTTCGCCACTCCTAACACCACGGACCGTGTCCACAACACTGTGGTCAGTTACACCTGCAATCCCGGCTACATCAAGCCTGAGGGATTCTACTCCGCGGACAAAGTGGTCACGTGTCGTCAGACTACGTGGACGGGAGAATTACCCAATCCATGCAGGCGTAAGAATATATATAAGCATAAATTTATGTTCGCTTTTTATAGATTAGATTATTTTTATGGGTGCATTGTCGTCTTCTAGCGGCAACCATTCATAAATTTGGGGCGTCGTTAGGAGTTAAATGCTGTTTCTGACGTTAATTCTGACACGTGCGTTTTTTTTTTCTTTCTTTCTTTTTATTAGTATACTGTAAAGCGATTCAGAGGGTGAAAAAAGATAACTTATCCTTAATTTTCAATTTTTGACAATTAATAGTTGTAAAATAACCCCCTCCCCACACACACACACACACACCTCTTGAAATCTGCATTCGCCTGTAAGGCTCGCAACGGCCCTTACTCATCAAGTTTTTTTTATGTTCTTCATGTAACCTAGACGTACTCTTCTACATACCGACTTATTTCTATTTACATAGCAATAGAATGTAACAGCACTGTCCCGAGCCTGCCTCATTCCACTGTGAACTGGACAGACATAACTTACCTGAGCACTGCCACTTACACCTGTGACACGGGGTATGCTTTACCTGACGGCTCCACTACGCATGTCGCTCACTGCCAGATCAGTGAAGAGTGGGGGCCGCTTAGGCACTGCCAACGTAAGTGTTTATTCTGTTAGAGATATTTATGCAGAAATATGTATGATGTCTAGATGAGATGATAAAGCTGAGCCATACTGTACGTTTTTTACCCCTACCATCTATGGATCTTGTTTTCTGAAAAAATGAGTTTGCACCTTTCCATAGGTGTTTATTATTGCTGCGTACCCGTTCATCTGCTTAATTGTTTGAAGTTTATGATATATCTAATTTTTTTGTCATTCTGGATATTTGTGTTGTAAGCTCAATTCCCCTTTACTCTATATAGTCACACTCTACATGTATGTATATTTTAACCTATGCAGCGGCATTTTCTCGCGCCAACTTGCAGGAAACAGCAAGTGCAACGAGACATTTAGTGTGGCGCAGGGATTACAAACGCGAAGAATATACATGTATGATAAAAATAATAATCTTCATTGCTTTAAGCTCATTATTCAAAAGACAGGCTTTAAGTAAGTATGTATTTGCAAATGAATGAATATTCCTGATCCAATGCTTTTCCTTGCAGCCGTGCAATGCCCAGCTACGTCGACCTTTACCAATAACGTGCGGACAATCACTGGAACTGGCACGTCATACGGAAGCATTGTGACGTATGTGTGTAACCAAGGCTACGTCGTTCCAAATACCCGGATAATGCAACAACGGATGACGTGTCAACAGTGGGGCAACTGGTCCAGTACCGCGGTAGACTGTACAGGTATGGATTTATGTACGGCCGGACTTTGTAGGTTACTCTTTGTGGCTTAAAATGGGTTATAAGGTAACTTTGGTCATATTCTACGCATTTTGATTACTTCAGAGGCGCAAGTGTAGAACGGGCTCATTGTTATGTGCCATCATTTTATTTAATTTTTGTGCCCCAGAAAGTGACTTGCCATTTTATCCTTACATTGAATACAGCAAAGCAAAGTGCTGTTTTCATGAAACAAGAATCTATTAAGGAGATTTTATACGTGTATTTGAAGCGTTGAATATATATATATATTTTTTTTTTAGATAAAATTTAACCAACTGTTTAACCTGCTTCAATTTAGTTTCTGTTTATTCAAAGTATATACTCGCATACACATATTCCTGTAACTTTATTTTAGCGGACTTCACGTTTGTTGGCTGTTTCGCAAATTCTGGAGGAAACCAACTCAATGCTATTTCTATCGATGTGTCCACCATTAACGACAACACAGTGACGAACTACGTTGACAAGTGCAGGAAACATTGCCTTAGCAACGGATTTCCTGTAGCAGGTACACGTTATTTTTTTTTTTTTTTTTGTTTTTTTTTTTTTTTGAGAAAACAATACGTCATTTTAATTGAATTAATTAATCATTTGATCAGTTAATTAATCGCATTGAACATACAAGTAAATTGCATTATCTGAACTGTTAGATTCCAGGTATTTTCTCTGTGGTGAGATAAACTGACCCAACCCTGATTTACCATTTTTACTTCATTATTTTATTTTATTTATTTATTTGTTTGTTTGTTTGTTTGTTTGTTTGTTTGTTTGTTTGTTTATTGCAAGACAATGGAAGTAATTCACGTCAAACTCTGACCCTCATTCCTTTCAGGCATGGTAAATGGAGACACGTGTAAATGTGCCGCCTCTTACGACACTTCCGCTTCCCCGTTGACAAGCACGTCGTGTAACACCGCGTGTACAGGTGGAGACCCCGGCTTCTGGTGCGGAGGATCTGGGACCAACAACATTATGATATTCAAGACGGGTATGAAAGCATGAAAAAAATTTTTTTGAAAAAAATAATGTTAGGACTCACTATAATGTGGATTCTTTGGAATCGATTGTTATTGTACCACCAGCGTTAGCGCTGGCGGTACACATGGTTTTAGTCCCGTCCGAATCGTTCCGCCGGCTCCGCCGGCTCCGTTGGCTCCGTCGGCTCCGCCGGACGGCTACCGTTACCGCTTCTCCTCCTAGACGGTAAGGGCCTCCGTACCCATCTCTTGGATTTAGGTCACATATAATCTTAACTCGTTCCACGTAAAATATGGGCTTTGTCGGTATTGGGGTCTAGGTGTGGCACTCATTGCAATGCACCCTTGTCTAAAAATGGCAAAATTAAATGCTAATTATCTACGTAACCCTACGGAAGGAATTATGGGAAAATTTTCTACAGACGGCTTTCAAAAAGTCATATGTGTAGATTTCAAATATGCCCTTGGATTTGACCTTTGACCTTTATTTCAAGGCCAACGGGCCAAAATTTTCAAAAAAATGAAATTTTTTACGAAAAAAAATGTTTTTGCCCTGTTATTCAGACACCACACAGACTTAACCAATAATATTATTGGAAAGTGTTACCCTTTAGGTCATCTTTTATCTCCATGAATTTGGGGTCAATCGGTGCATTTTCACGGGAGTAGCGGCCATAAGATACCGAAACTGAAAACTGTCTCTAAATCGGGAACCCTTAATGCTAGAGACCCATTCTTTTTTGCATTTTGTAGAGCATGTAAAGCCCAACACTGGAGGTGGTCTCGGTTTTTTTGTATTCCATACGGTTTTCGAGTTACGCTGTATCAAAAAGTACATATTGGTGGTGAAAGGAAAATGTACGGAAGCCCACTGGTGCCATATGTAGAAAAAAAAATTATCTCGAAATTTCGAGATACTATTTTGAAATTTGAACAAAAAAATTTACCACCAGCGTTAGCGCTGGCGGTACACATGGTTTCGGTCCCGTCCGGTCCGTTCCGCCGGCTCCGCCGCCATGTTACCGTTACCGCTTCTCCTCCTAGACGGTAAGGGCCCCCGTACCCATCTCATGGATTTAGGTCACCTATAATCTCAACTCGTTCCACGTAAAATTTGGGCTTTGTCGGTATTGGGGTCTAGGTGTGGCACTCATTGCAATGCACCCTTGTCTAAAAATGGCAAAATTAAATGCTAATTATCTACGTAACCCTACGGAAGGAATTATGGGAAAATTTTCTACAGACGGCTTTCAAAAAGTCATATGTGTAGATTTCAAATATGCCCTTGGATTTGACCTTTGACCTTTATTTCAAGGCCAACGGGCCAAAATTTTCAAAAAAATGAAATTTTTTACGAAAAAAAATGTTTTTGCCCTGTTATTCAGACACCACACAGACTTAACCAATAATATTATTGGAAAGTGTTACCCTTTAGGTCATCTTTTATCTCCATGAATTTGGGGTCAATCGGTGCATTTTCACGGGAGTAGCGGCCATAAGATACCGAAACTGAAAACTGTCTCTAAATCGGGAACCCTTAATGCTAGAGACCCATTCTTTTTTGCATTTTGTAGAGCATGTAAAGCCAAACAGTGGACGTGGTCTCCGTTTTTTTGTATTCCATACAGTTTTCGAGTTTCGTGGTATCAAAAAGTACATATTGGTGGTGAAAGCAAAATGTGCAGTACGGTAATGGATAATAAATTTTGAACTCCGGAAAAATAAAACATAAGGCTTGGCGAGGCAGACAACTTGTGGTCAAAAATGACATTATTTCATCAAATTTGAACATCTGGAACTTCAGAGCACCTCCCATTTCAAGAATTTTGACCAAAATGACCATTTCTTTATTTTAATTAACTTTTTTCTGTACTAAATTTATGGCACATTATTGTAACTCCAAAATTATAACTTTTAGTCCCTTATATCTCCAAAACTGGCAAAAATACGCCCATAGTAACTATTGAACTTGAATAGAAGTCATTAGAGGCAATCTAAGTGTGACCTTGAAATTGACCTTTGACCTACTTTTCATCATGAATTGAAGTTTGCAAATTTTGGTTCCCTTTTATCTCCAAAACTGGCAGAGATAGGTCCATAGTTACTATTGAACTTGAATATGAAGACATATACTGGCAATCTAAATGTGACCTTGAAATTGACCTTTGACCTACTTTACACCATAAACTGAACTTTGCAACTTTTTAATGCTTTTATTTTCAAAACTGGCAGAGATACGCCCATAGTTACTATTGAATTTGAATAGAAGTCATATACTGGCAATCTAAATGTGACCTTAAAATTGACCTTTGACCTACTTTTCACCATGAACTGAATTTTGCAAATTTTGCTTCCCTTTTATCTCCAAAACTGGCAGAGATAGGTCCATAGTTACTATTGAACTTGAATAGGAAGTCATATACTGGCAATCTAAATGTGACCTTAAAATTGACCTTTGACCTACTTTTCACCATGAACTGAACTTTGCAAATTTTGCTTCCCTTTTATCTCCAAAACTGGCAGAGATAGGTCCATAGTTACTATTGAACTTGAATAGGAAGTCATATACTGGCAATCTAAATGTGACCTTAAAATTGACCTTTGACCTACTTTTCACCATGAACTGAACTTTGCAAATTTTGCTTCCCTTTTATCTCCAAAACTGGCAGAGATAGGTCCATAGTTACTATTGAACTTGAATAGGAAGTCATATACTGGCAATCTAAATGTGACCTTAAAATTGACCTTTGACCTACTTTTCACCATGAACTGAACTTTGCAAATTTTGCTTCCCTTTTATCTCCAAAACTGGCAGAGATAGGTCCATAGTTACTATTGAACTTGAATAGGAAGTCATATACTGGCAATCTAAATGTGACCTTAAAATTGACCTTTGACCTACTTTTCACCATGAACTGAACTTTGCAAATTTTGCTTCCCTTTTATCTCCAAAACTGGCAGAGATAGGTCCATAGTTACTATTGAACTTGAATAGGAAGTCATATACTGGCAATCTAAATGTGACCTTGAAATTGACCTTTGACCCACCTTACACCATAAACTGAACTTTGCAACTTTTTAATGCTTTTATTTTCAAAACTGGCAGAGATACGCCCATAGTTACTATTGAATTTGAATAGAAAGTCATACGAGGCAATTTACTGTGACCTTAAAATTGACCTTTGACCTACTTTTAACCATGAACTGATCTTTGCAAATTTTGTTCCCTTTTATCTCCAAAACTAGCAGAGATAGATCCATAGTTACTATTGAAATTGAATAGGAAATCATTAAAGTCAATTTACTGTGGCCTTAAAATTGACCTTTGACCTACTTTTTACCATGAACTTAACATTGCAAATTTTGGTTCCCTTTTATCTCCAAAACTGGCAAAAAAACGCCTATAGTAACTATTGAACTTGAATAGAAGTCATCAGAGGCAATCTAAGTGTGTCCTTGAAATTGACCTTTGACCTACTTTTCATCATGAATTGAAGTTTTACAAATTTTGTTCCCTTTTATCTCCAAAACTGGCAGAGATAGGTCCATAGTTACTATTGAACTTGAATAGGAAGTCATATACTGGCAATCTAAATGTGACCTTGAAATTGACCTTTGACCTACCTTACTATGAACTGAACTTTGATTGTACCATTTTTAGTTATATATATATTTTTTTGTATATTTTGAGAATTCTTGTTGATTGCATTTTTTACAGCTTGTCAAGCACAAGACTGGTGGTGGTGGTACCCCTCTTTTGTGTGTGCGGGGGTCTATACGATCGCGCTTACTTCAGCTGGTGGTACAATATTCGGAGGCGGTATCGCCTCTCTGATCCTCTAGTTTGTATTTTAATATATTTTTGTTTCTTTAAAGAGTTCAATAGTACGTGGGTGTATTGATTTGGTTCCTGAACTGTCATTCTCGTTCTTAATAAGAGAGTGGTTATAAAGATACAATATAAATCTAATCGTATCTGGGGCAGGTATTCAAAATTTGCGTCAAAACACCTGTAATTACTTTCAGTATTGTATGATGATAGAATTCCTGTGTGTCTTCTCGCCAAACTGCCTATGCCAAAAAGCGCACACAACTAAAATAGTAATAAAATGAAATTAAACGAAAAATATATCCTTTCGGACTTTACATTATTGACGATAGGCCATTTATCATTTAGTTTATCATTTAGAAAATAAATTTTAGATTTACCATGTTTCCCCTCAATAACTAAATGAATAAATGATTGGATATATTACAGCCAATCAGTGCCCGCCTCTTACTCTCACCTTGGCTACGGCAAATACATCCCTGCACGCCATTGGTACGGTGGTGGGTATTACGTGTGACCCTGGCTACATGTTCCGTGACACAGAGGCCACCACACGTGTCACTGAGTGCTTGGCCAATGAGCTATGGAGTGACGGTGTCCAATCATGTATGGGTAAGTGCAGCATGGGTTTGGTAATCTTTGTTTTCCTCGGTGATTAATCCCGGGTTTTAGAATACATTTTTAGAATACATTTGATTAAATGGTCTAAAATATGGAAAAGTATGTTATTAAAAATACCTAAACTGTGGTGGCTATTGAAAATATGATAACAAACTAGTACTGTAGGAAATTCCCATCCATTTTTGTATGCTGTTTGGTTTGGAATAACTTCCGTTTTAACGTAAAATGTTTGTATATTAGAAGACTTAATACTATTTAGACGCCATGCTGAAAATTCAAACGGTGAGTAATCTGTCACTTTTTAGTACTAACCTCAGTTTTTTTCATTCTAAGTGTCTTATTAGTTTGACGTCCTTTGTTGCACTTTTTATTGTTGTAAGAAAGTCTTAGTATGAATGTTGTCGCAGTGGAGACAGTTAGTTTAGATTTATGTCAGGGTGATAGTGCATTAGCACTAATACTGTGAGGGTTTGGTTGATTCTTCTGTGGTGTCATATTTTGAACTGGAGGCGTATGTGTTGAAATGACAAAGAGTGACTTCGGTGACGATGAAAAGTTGATGACATGCTATGTCCTTTGGAGAAAGAGAAGTTATTTATCTTATATTTTGCCTGCCTGGTTGATATATTTGGTATCTTGGGAGCTGGTTAAGATGCGTATGGTGCATTCAGAGTTATTGACGGGAATGTGACGTGAGTTTCCTTGAATATGACGTATGTATCTTTGAGCGTGACGTAAGTTTCTGTGAACGTAACGAACGTACATGTGGTTGCTCGTATACCAATGATTGGATGCAAATATTTAATGTTAATGCCAACGACCTGATAAAATGTGAATATAATGATGCTGGTGGTACTGATGCTGATGCTGATGAGACCGTGACATTGACGACCAAAATTCGGCATAGCAGTGACGACAGGACGACTCCACTTGGAATTAATGTCACACAATCCCTACAGAAGAGACTGTCACCTACTTTGTGCCAATACAAAGAACTCATTACAAAGATTCAGCGCAACTTCAGTGTGAAAATCGCAAACAGGCCGCTGTGAAACTTATATCAGGCAAAAACCTGCATTTTACGTTAAACTTCAAGTATTAACTGATGATGACAAAAAAAGACAAAGTATTTACATCGAATCCACTGACACTGTTGAAGTAATGTACCAAGAGTGAACTAAGCCGCAGACATTGCATCGTGGAATAAATTCGTTGGAAAACCGTTGGAATGTACTGTTTCAAGACATGTCTTCCGGTCATCACGCCATGCAATTTTGTTATACATGTACACGTGTTAAAAGTCGAATATCATTGTTCAAAGAAAAAAGCATCCTTAATGGAAGATACGATGCTGTAGCAGAAGATATTTTGAGGACAGAATCGGACAGATTATTGGATATCGATTCTACATTTGACACTTGTCATTATCAATACTCAATAAACTTCCCAATATTAAACAGTTCGATGTTTTGAGACAGGTGATATGTGAAGTCTAATAAGATTGCTTTCTTTCATAAGACGATTATATCTGTTAAAGTCAGTACATACACACCTTTGTCAAATGTATAGGAATACGTCGATGTTCCGAATTTCTGAATGAATTGAATCGATTCGTATATATATTTTAGGTATCCATTTTATGTATTAGTTAATTTCAAAAGATGAGTGATATTGCTGTTTACATTATATTGTACTTTTAATTAAAAGTCATGGAATCAGCAAGAATCTATCAAAGTATATGTGTTTATTTACATGAACATAATGACATTACAAAGAATGTTTTTTTTATTTATTTTTTATTTTTTGAATACACAGATGAATGCAAACTTGATTATCGCTGTACGTTATACAATGCATTTGAATTATAAATTAAAGAGAGGTAGAGCCGAACCTACACATACCACAATAATAACAATTTTATACAAAATAAGAAAATATAAATTTACACATGTACATGGTTTGACAAGAAACATCCTTAATGATTCAAAACTTAGAAATGTGAGACTTTCAGTTATCAGAAAATAGGGAGAACGGTAATTTCATTTCCTTTCCCCCTCGTTGTTTCAGTTTATTGGTTATAGTTATCGTAAATGAAAGAGTTATTCCCTTTGTATTAAATTTAGCTTCAAATATTGCCATGAACGATAGATTTTACATGTCGTTAAAGTAGCTAGAATGTAGAAGACCCTGAAGAACAGTTTTAATTAATTATTTGATCCTGTCATAATTTACAACTTTTGTATGAAAACATTTCAGAAACGGTGCTTAGAACTGTTTTAAATGTAGCTACTATTGTACACATACACTCACACACACAAGAACACACGCATAGCCACATACACACATGCACGCTTAATTGTTCACAAGACATGCAGCTACGACGGCACGCTCTGTACATGTAACTTGAATCCGAGCTTGTTGGAAAAGTTATATGGATAGTTGGCCCGGAAGAGGACCAGTGCTTGATTCGACTCCGAGATTATGGCAGGGAATGTCAGAGTATGGTAAAAGCCGCAAAATCTACAAATGAAACGATGTCATTTGATGTTAGTTGTAAGGCATGCCATTGTTATACATTTAAAATATAAATATACGAATACATTGAAATATAAAATTGTAAATTTTGTTGTTAATTGTTACATTATCAAGAACATTTAGATACCTGTACACTTATTCATCCATCAGATTTATGGTAGTGGTTATTGCATCATTCAATGCCACCCTGAAGTTTTTATATCTCAAGAATCCACGAAAGAGGTTATTATGCAATTTGCTTCTAGGTCAAACATCCCCTTTTTCTACTTCGTGCGTTCACTACTTAAGGCTCTAAATTCACATTACCAACACAGTGCCAGTAAGCAATATCAGGAGACAGTGCGAAAATGTGTCTCATTTAACGCTCACTTACGGTTCTCAGTCTGTCCTAGTACGTAATGTTTTTTTTCTCTTTTAACGAAAAATGGTCTTAATCTGTTCCCAGAAACAGTTCATGAACGGTTACATTCATTACAGACCAACATTGTAACTGTAAAAAAAAAATACACCAAATGTTCTAGAATAGATTGAGAACCGTAAGTGAACGTTAAGTCAGACAGATTTTCGCAGGGTACATACCTTTGCCCAGTTCGACCGAAGTCGAGCGTATGTTTAATCTCCACGTAGTCTATACACAGGCCGGATACGTAGTGCGTTAATGCCATGGCGTAATACGTAGGAATTTTGGGTACGAATTCAAACAGAATTTTGCTACCAGGAGGTGACTAAAATATAAAATATAAATATATATAGACATGTGTGCGTGTACTAGGGTATATTACATTAAGACACGTAATTAGTTTATTTATATATGAGATATTAACGGTGTTAACCCAACGCCATGACGTGTTGTGTGCCATGAGTATCCCATGTCCTTTGTAAACTGTCAATAAATGTATACTGTTTACCCGGTACAATGAAAACACCATGCATCTGGATGAGAAAATAACTGTATGCAACATGTGGGGTGAATGGTTTACTCGTCTGGTAATACCATAAATTAAAGACCATTTTATTTATTTATTTATTTATTTTTTTTTGCAACATTTAGAAAAGCCCCACCTGCTCACGCCCCAATGGCGTTGCTGTAAATTTTTTGGAAGCTATTTAAAAATCGATTACAGTTTTATTCATTACCTGTATCAGCCAGTTGCATTCCTGGAATTCTTTATAGGTTTGATAGACCAGGGCGCTGTTAGGAGACTCTATTGTCGTCATCTCTGGTACATTTGTTAATGTTATTTTCCATCCGCAAACATCTAATGAAATAAAGGAGTATCAGCAACCGAGTTTACTGTATATACCTTAGCAAAAAGTATTGAATACATAATAAGCAAGTACTCTCTTCAGACTGCCATCACAAATGTGTGCCATCACGACGTGAACATTGTGTTGAAAATTGCAATTAGTTCCAATGCGAAGATTTTACCGAGTTACCCAGTACCTACCCATCTTATGTGGTGCGGGTTCTGCACAGTAAGCAGATCCCTTTAAACCATCCGGGCACTTGCACTCATTGCATTTCACGGGGTCCTGGTAGCCGCCATTTTTGCATGTTGGTGCTGGGATTCCGTTACAAGTGTCTTTTACGAAAAGTGAAAAAAATGACATATGAACACCACGACCTAAAGCGACTTCGCCATTTAAACATTAAACTATATTTTCTTCTTTACAAAATAAATTTGAAAAAAGTGCGAAACAAGTTAAAGGGGAACCTTGGGCATAGCGTGGCAAACTGAAACTGCAACTTGCAAACTAACAAACATATCTGCGGAAAATATGGAGAGTAGTTTACAGAATATACATTTTGTCGGGCTTTTCGCATCTGAATACGCACCTAGCAGTGTACCGGATATGCCTAGTGGTATTAAACTATTCATCATATTGAAACACATTTTATCCAAAACTATTCAAACGCATGATTCATACCGAAAAACTAAACAATCTATGCATACCGGCACAATAAACTGCATTGATGACCTTTATATCGCCAAATGCCAGTTTGAACCTCTGTCCCATACTGTTCTTGTACACGCTTTCCATCGGCTCGATTGTAGTTGAGCTGACTGTCGTATTGGCAAAAGACTGGAATCCAAATATTTTTATTATAATTTTTACTATTATTATTATTATTATTATTATTATTATTATTATTAATTCATGAATGCAGTGGGCCAAAATTAATCATGAATTTCACTGCATAGTGTGGTCATTGGATGGATATTATATGAAGTTTTTGGTTAATCCATTTAATGTTTTGTTTTTCACAAATAGGACACTTTGTTTTGGGGTCTATATAGTAAAGCCATTTTTAATTCACTAATCAACATTACAAACAGGTAAATAGTCATCACTTAGATATAGCGCTCGTCGTCAAAAAGCCCATAAATAGTTAACTTAAAACGGTCACAATCGTCGGTAGTAAAATAGGATACTAGTGCTTACAGTAGGAACATAATGCATAATGGATCCATAGTCGTAAGGCGTTCCCTTATTGTCACCTTCTTGTTTGGCGAAATTCCCTTCCATCCCAGCTTTGATGGCGTCCCAGTTGATAACCACGTGCTTGTCTCTGTCATACCTGGTGTGCTCGTGCCACAGCCCCAGGGCGTGACCCACCTCGTGGACGATACGACCCACCTGGGAACACAGGAAACAATATTTTAATGCGGGTGCATTTGAATATAGCATGGTTCCACTTTTAACCAAAGCTATTTAAATTTCATTTATTTCAATACTCCTCTGACTTATAACTTAATCTGAACACATTCTAGAATTATTTTATTACTTATATTAGTCTAGAACGATTTTATTATGTGATTTCACTATGGGAATTTTGTGTGCGAATTTGTGTATGTATAATTTTATGTCTTTCAACCCTGAGGTAAATAAATAAATAAATAAATAAATAAATAAATAAATAAATAAACACTTACCCCCAAGAGCACATCAAAGCAAGAAGGGTCGAGGTTGACGGGTTGTGAGCGGGGATAGCCGGGGGTGTGGTACAGCATCCCAACGTATGACCAGCATCTAGAAAAATAAGAAAGAATGACGAAATATTTTCTCTCTGAAAGAAAAATAGGCATAGTTTAAGTTCCAAATTTAAATGAGTTTTACCCCTTTCCCGTCTTTTTGATATCTGGTAGACACGATTGAAATGGTAACAAGACAAACCACTGCTTCGGTATCGCGTTCCTCTATAAAGTATAATAAAATTTAAAATCGAATCATCGCATGCCGACGTCTGTTCTTAAGTTTGTGGTCAAGTTCATCCTCAATACAGTTTCAAGATTAAAAGGGAAACTTTCTCATTTTGAAATTTAAATAAAAGGGTAGTTTCTTCATATCTGCAGATATTTCCAGCGCATTTTGATCACTTCATTGCCGGCTAACGAGAGAAACGGGGATATCAGTCGCATGGTGACGCCACTTGAGTAAGTGAAGATCCCCGCCCACAACAAACATGAAAACATCAATGACGCCCCTGCTGTGATACACGTCACAATGGGCAGGAGATCTTCACTTGCACCAGTGACGTTACCACGTAGTTCATAACCCCTGTCTCCTACAAATGACTAGAAAACATTATTGTATTTATTAAAGGCACCAGAAAGTGACGCTCCCTCTCATGCTACTCACCCATCCCAAGCTCCAGTGAAGTTCAGGTAGGTGCTGTCAGGAAGGCTGGAGGGAAGGAAATATTGGAATCGAATGCACGTGGCCTCCTCCCACGCAGCTAGGGCGGCCCTCACTACGTCACGTTGGGCTGTAGCTGGAATGCGTTACAAACTACATGATAAATGTACACATATTTCTTATCGTTACTGTACGCTTCACAGAAGTATGGCATCCCGCCTCCATCCACGCCCGTTCACTATTTTCATCCACGTGCGATATTAATCAAGTCGTTTAATTCACATTGGCTCCAGATCAAGTTTGGGCTGGGTTGGATCATGGTGCGATTTAAAACGGTGAAGAGAAAGGAAGAAAAGAAAAAGGTGGTTATTTTGCTAATGCAATGTTATTTATGTTATATTAAGTCAATTTGTTTCAGAAAATATGATGAGATGTCGTTCAGATAGAGAATGCAATGCATTCATAGTTTAAAACATTGGAATTCAATAATGACGCCTCTTCTAGAATTTATAATTTTATTACTTATAATTATAAAGAAATTTTGTACAAGTAATTAGTATTTCTATTACATATTAATGAAGATGCGTGTGTGAGCGTCTTCAAAATGGGATGTGATTTTTCACTCCCTTATATAGCTGTCCTTTATTTCCTTAAAAGAAGATCCTAAAATGGAATCAAAATAGCATCCGATATATAAAGCTGACAGCTAATTACACACCTCCTTTTTAGACCATAAATTCTGCCCACTTAAAAAAAAATGACATTGATAAGTGCTTGTCATGGTTTAAGTTTAACATAAAGCAGTTAGTAAGAAACACCCTTTTTATTGTGTGGTTCATATTTTTGTATATTATTATAAAAAGCACTTAAGACACAATGAAAGTGCAAGCTTAACATAGATGGGAAGAGACGAGACTGGGCGTTTTAATTTACTTCTTAATTGATAATCAGATAATCTATATTCTGAGTACGTGGTATATGTAAGTAGTAATACTGACATATGCACGCACACACACCCAATCAGTGAGTGCTTATGTTAAATATAAAAACAGACAGACACGTACACCGAAGATAAGGAGGTTTTCATATGTATGAAACATTTAGATTTAAACAAAAAGTAGACACAAAAAAGAAGCTTTAAGTCCAATTTAATATTTAAATAATTAACATAATTAATGTATTTCGATTACCTAAATGTAAATGCATAAAGCAATTTCCTTAACAGTAATTAACAAAAGCTATTCTTTTCATCGAGCACTGTTGGTAGTGCGGAAGCGTCTCCATAGTCCAAAGATTCATTGGTCCGAAAAATTATAGCATTTTCATCAGTTTTTTAATCAAGGGTTCGTTGGTTCGAAGGTTCCATAGCGAACATTAGGACAAATGAACCTTCGGACTAAGGCAAGGCACTTATAATGATCACACTTGTCTTAAAGTTTAACCAGTAGTTTTTGGACTTACGAATAGGCCTTTTAGACGTCTCGTCAAAGGTGTATGGTATCGGCTTCCCCAGTGGCCAGCGATTGTGAACCAATGAAATGCCTCGCCTTCGCCTCTGTCCGTGTCCCGTTAACTGCCTCTTGATAGCCGCTAGCTGGACCGCGGTGTAAGCAATGTCACCCAGCACGTTGTCCGGTTCTTTGGATGTTTTCTGCACCTGGAAATTGATGAAAGCCCCATTTAAATGGTGATGCTCTGGCACCCCTCCTGTTAGGATATATGAGCGGCTTCCACTTACAGGAAGTTCAAAAGAAGCTGCACTTCTACTGTATGTCAACCCGATCTGTTCTAAAATAATAAATTGGGATGTTTCCAAGTAAAACAACGTACTTAGAGACACTTGACGAGGACAAGTAACCCAGACCACCCTCCCCCCCCCCCCCCAAGCCACCACGGTGCCGCATCAGAATATCACTGTAAGTTGCAATTTGATTTCTAAAAATTGTTGAAAATATTTGTTCTAAGAATCAAATGGAGTAAAATATAGATTTTGGAAAAAAAAACTCTGCTTCATGCATGAACCTGTGTTGCAATGACCATATGCGGAATTCTATAAACATGTAATGCAAAGTCAAAAAATGAGTGCGATAATGATGAATAGTGCAACCCCATCATGCTTTGTGGGAGAACTTATACGGGTTGTCGGGAAGCGCGGTTGCTATTGACTGCTAACGCTTTATTGCATAAAAGTTGCAAAAATTCTAAAACCTTCCAAACCTGCACTGGTCTTTTGTGGATCTTCATGGCAATGTTGTCGATATCCTTCTTGATCAGTTTCACTTGTTCCATTTCTTGATCTGTGATCCCGAACACGGTTTTTGATAAAGGTACTTTGCTCTCTCCTTGTGCAACCTTCAAGAGAAAGGCCAATACTATAATATCGTATAAAATAAAAATAACCAATTACGTCTTTACAAACTATAAACAAAATCAAAACCAATGTCACAAAACAAAGTATAAAGTAAAGTAACTTTAAACAAGACTTTACAAGGAAAAGTCGTTAAACGTTGCCAAGTAATCGCCTGCTCATCTTTTACCTGTAGAAATGTTCCAAATGTTCCCTGTTAGTAAAATGCGTTACCATAGAAATTGCACTGTATCAATTTATTTTTCCTTTGGGACACACAAATTTTGTCAAAAAAAAGAAATACTACCTAAAACAAACTTGTTTAGATTATTCAGCTCTCTCTCTCTCTCTCTCTCTCTCTCTCTCTCACACACACACACACACAGAGGCGCACGCACGCGCACAATCTCTCTCTCTCTCTCTCTCTCTCTCTCTCTCTCACACACACACACACACACACACACACACACACACAGAGGCGAACGCACGTGCACTCTCCCTCTCTCCTCTTTAACCCAGACTCACGGAAAGAGACAGAAGCTGTACCTACACAGGTTATGTGTCCTTTTGGATTTAAAGCGTTATGTCTCGATAATACAGGAAACTGCAGGCGATAATTTCGTATCATTATATGTAACAGATCACGGAAAAGCCCCATCGCCACTCCTTGTTTAAGTGCTCTTGTGTAAGGTATCAGCGTTTTTATCTTTCGTTTAAGTTACATTTAACACCCAATTAACAGTTCATAAAGTGAGTAATGATGTTAAATGAATTGACCTCTTAAGTAAAAGTAATTAATCTATCTAGGGTGACGTATATAGCGTAGTAGGAGTAGTAAAGCACCTGAAGAAATTACTTTGTCTAGGTCATCACGTTCTATTGCTTTTAATCCCTATATAAATGGAATAGAAAACAATCCACAGTCTGTGATTATTTCTGTCGTACATTGTATAATTTCAAATATATATAAACTGTACTCCGTTGCATTGTTTAATTGATTTTTTCTCCATTACTTCTTATTCAGCTTTATCTATTCTACACACAATGGACAATATTTAGGAGTGTCACTCCCTGAATCAGAATAATCAAAGTAGGAACATGTAGATCTTGAGTAGTTATAATGCCTGGTCTACTGCTCAGTACTTATAATGTGACTAATGAGTATAAAACCGCTGTACCATGGAATTGTATTGTTGATCTTTTTGCGAAATTTGTTGTTAATAGAATGATACTAGGAGCATATCATTCCACAGTCATTTATCTCCCTAAAAGTATTGGTTCAGTAGGGGTGACACTTCTATTGTCCAATGTGTGTATTCTATCACATCCCTTGCTTTTCTGTTTTGTTTATTCCATTTTTCTCAGTTTCCATTAGCAGTGCAGACATATGAATAGCCTAATGTAGATATCGTTGGAAAAAGATCATATAAAGCTAGAATATACCGCACTTCAGATTAAATGAGACTAAAATTATTTAATGTCGCAATCAAAATTAAAAACCAAGCAAATATAAAATGTGGAACCTACTTTGCGTTCATCCAATTCACACAAGGGTTTCTCTTTGTTAATTATCGCCATCAAAGGCCACGACTAACACATTTATTACATGTTTACTCAAGCAAACCCAAAGAACATTTCTCCTATTTTGTTGCGATAGTACCCTTAATGTCCTAATTAAATGTTAAGAGGTTACAAAGCCGGTCTCTATTTGCACATCACACGAAAAGCCCCCTTTCCCTATATAAATGGCGGTTAGATGATACACGGTTTCTCACTATTCAATTTTAAGTGTTAGAGGTACAAAAGAAGTTTAATGTCTTAAATTGTAAATAGCCGACGAAATAACAGATCTTGCCATATGAAAACGAGCCCAGGTTTCTTAAGATAGATAGGACCACGGGTAATATTAGTTTTAAAATTTATAAGCACTTTCTCTGCTGCGGTTAGAGGTACGGATGGTACAATAACACACTCAGCAGTGAGGGGGTATAATCTACTGCACTCTTTGACCACAGATCTGCCATAACTCAATGTAATACCTTGTTCCTCAGGCGGCTTGCCTCTCCTGTTTCCACCAGACCGATGTTCATTGGTTTGGGCGCCGCTACGACGATCAGTGCTGACCAAACGGTCATTCCAAAACCCACCGTTGACATGACCATGACTGAAAGTTCCCTGAAACTCGGCTAATGGCTGTATCGGTGACTTCAGCGGTACGGAAGACAGACTGCGGATAGCCTGGGACTCTATTGCTTGTTTTATACCCATTTAATATATGCGGAGGAACACATTATCCGCTGTTAACTACCATAAGTACTTTGCGATTTATTAAAAGTTGAATATCAAATAGTAATCAATGATAGCCAATGCCCTCAAAGGGTAAGTCATGATTTATTATTAATAGATGCAAAGATAAAGACTGAAGTTTTAATTGTCCAAAAAGTCAGTCCGTTGAAGACATTATAGTGACACTATTAAATTTATGCCCTATATTTATGCGGCTTATGAAATTTAATTTTATATTTGAGGTCTCTAGTGCGCTCGTATGCTATTTACCATATAAGACTGATTTATTGTTAATATTGTATCTAGGTCTTGCTCCTTTGGTCTTCGTTTTCTTTCACATACGTGTATATGAGGTCCTTTCTGTATATTGTGAGTCCAGTCGAAAGTGTTGTCCCCTTATTTAACCTGAAGCAGTATCTGATTGAAAGAGTTTAGGATCAAATGGCAAATTAAGCTGCAGCGCCTACCCTCTTTTCAAGAACAAATCAATGTCAGAAAAGATGGGACAGGAGCAAATTTAAGAACTACAGGCTGACTGTTTTACGCATTTAAATCTTATACCACGCCAATTATTTATTTATTTATTTATTTATTTATATATATTTATTTGTTTGTTTGTTTGTTTGTTTGTTTGTTTTTATTTATTTATTTATTCATTTATTTATTTATTTATTTTTCGCTTAAGATTTGTAAAGATTATTTTGCTGCGATGATAGGTATTCAATAGAAATGGTCAAAGGTATATCCACCTTACCACACGCATGGGGCCCACACGTACGCAAACGCTCCCTACTTAGTATCTAGTTTCACCTGTGCCCCTGTAGTAGTTACCAGTAAGACATTAAGCGGAATTTAAACGTCTTATAACGCTGTACATCTTAATTAAAAAGTAGGCATCCATTTCCCCGAATATAGCTCCACTATATGATGCACCCACGCTCCCGAAGAAAGCCAGGTGGTTTTAATACCACTTACGAGGGTGTCAACCGCTAACACTGGCGAACATGTAAGTAACTATAGTAACACGTATTCAAAAAGAAAGCACATATTCTACGATAACTGGTGGTTCAACCATCTATTTCAGAAGTGTTAAAATGACACCTAAGTCCTTACATATCCGTAGCTAGGTGAAGACAGATGTTTGGACTTGATCCCCCACCGACACATGTTTAAATGACATACAACCTAGAGATACTGGTAAATGTACCTTGAATATCGACCTTACTCACTGGTAAATGTCTCTCACAAATAAAAAAGAAAAGAAAAGGAGGGGGGATATCCAGCTGTTTCGTCAATTTTCAGCCTTCAATCACTGTTTTTCTACACCCATTACAACCTTCAGCAAGCTATTTCTTATCATCTATTTTAATTAAAATGTCTGCTCTTTATGATACGAACTCGGACATGGATGGACATTCTCAAGCATTTGTCCTCTTTTTTGGTTAAGAAAGCGTACGTGCAGAATAATCTGGGCATTTTCTAGTGCAGTTAAGACGCTTTGTCCTAATAATTGTTCTAAATTCGGCGTAGGGACGCATGATACAGGTATCAGTACAAGTATGTGAACGAGAATATTGTCACGTATTAGCTGCAGTCCCTCCGTCAAGCGGGTGACAATCTAAGGGCCCATTCCCAATGAAAACATCGTTCTACGTATATCGTTGGTAAACCTCTCCTCCTGACGTTGATTAGAACACAGAAAAGTTGGGCCCAGTTTCGTCAACACTGCATAGGGCTATCCAGAGGATAACACTATCCACTGTATAAAATTGTTATCCTATGGATAGCAAGAGAAGGCTGGTTAATCTGATTGCATTCAGCAAGAGTCCCAGCGGAGTTTTATTGATCAGCGTAGCACAGTAGTTTATTTGGGAATGAGCCCTAAAAGGTCATTTGACCTAGATCGTAAAAAAAAACAAACTTTGCGTTATACCCAATTCGTGCCGCCAAGTACATGGGAGACGCTTGTAGGTACACTCAAAGCGATTTGGAAATGGAAATAGTTCCATTTGACAAACAAGCTGCTCAGAAAGGATGGAAAAAACGACGTATTAATATAGTCTAGCTAAGCTGCAGTAGGGCTGCCAGTATTTGATTTCTCATAAAGTATAAATCTAATATTCATCAATTCTGTTTGAAATATCTTAAAATATGTTGACACGCGCAGTTCTCCAAGGCAGAGAGAAACGATAGTCTAAAGTGCTGCGAGTTTAAGTGTGGGGTTATAACAGCTTTTAGAAGGAAATTAAAAACACAGTAGACCGCAACTGGAGTGGAATGGTTTCCTCTAAATGGTACATGTACCAGTTATTAAGAAGATACAATGGTACTGAGAGTGCCCACTTCCTTGAGCGACCTCAAGGACAATTTACCCCCAGCATATACAAGACGGCAGGCATCCCAGTTAAGTGACTGGATCCTACTTGATAGACACACGACAACCGCAAGTCCTTGATACAAACAGGAACATATGATAGCCATGTACAGTAGATGCTGGATGAATTCGATAAAAAACTACGATTCCATTTTTTAACCGGAAATAGCGGTTAATTTAAGCACAACATCTTTTCCAAGTGGTGAGCTTTATTATTAATATAACTAGTAGACATTTGGCGAAGTTTGTGTTCAAAGTGCTCGTGCATTATACAAAAATCTTCTGTGAAATAATACAATGTTTTATGTCTCTGAAGTGTCAACTTTTTTCATTCTAATAAATCCACCAGTCTCTATTTCTTTCAGTCATCCTTTACATACGTATAGGTTCTACAGGCATTAAGAATAATCTGCTCGCATATACAAATATATCATTTATCTTTTATTATAAACAAATAGAATCAAACAATAAGTAGTACGGTTTGATTAATACTGCGAACACTCCTTATGTACAGTATATACTTAGCAATTATAAGCAAAACATGACGTTAGAATTCACCATATTTTTACCATTGATGGTATGTGGTTAAACAATGTAAACAAAACAACAATTGAAGGCAAATTGACAGATGTCCCATGTCTGTGGAATGATAAATTAAAGGTGAAATTTTTGTGTAGGATCTTGACGCCATATACCGGTGCGACACCGTCAAACTATTGTTTTTCCTCGTGCGTCATACAAGTAATATCATATATATATTCATGCCTATCTATATGTATGAATATATGCAATAAGATACAGGCATTAACATAAACGTAAAAGTACCAGTCCCCGAATTTTGATAATAATTCTAATGCCACACGACTAAGTACACTGCAACAAAATGTGATCGGTTGATTTCCCATTACTTTTATATTTTCACAGTTCTAAAGGAGTTTTCTCATTACCAGATTGTGAATTTGAAAACGTATTCAAATATTTTTTTTCCTTTTCACTTATACCCCCGTCACACTTATTCGGAATCAGCAGGAATGAAGAAGAATGAGCCCGAACGAAGAATTTTTAAAATTCGAACGACATTCGGGGGAAAATTTTCAAATTGACCTTATTTATTGTAAGAGTACCGTTGGAATACTCAGAATGCGCTTGAATTCGCCTGAAATGATGAGTGCATTTTCGACTGTGTAGCTCTCAAAAGCAGTTCGAATGTAGTTGGAAAATTAGGAATATTTATAATGCTGTAAGAAGGCAGTAAGAATATTTAGAATATACTTTGAAGGGCGCTCTAGTGTAGTTCGATTGCTGGCAAAATTAATATTTCAGCTCATCCGAGGCACATTCGAAACATTCTGGCGGAGTATAAAATCCCCGTCACACTAGAGGCGGAATGATTAAGAATGGCGTCGGAAATACAATTCTATGTGCATTCCAGGATATTCGAATAGCATTGTAAAAACATTCTACAAATTCTGAGTGCATTCTAAATATTTTTACCCATTCTTGTGGCCGGCTCGAATGTTTTTGTCATGCAAAAACTTTCGAAGTGCATTCCAAGAGGAAATTCATCGATTGGCATTTGAACAGTATTCTAACTGCACTATGACTGCATTCTAAATATTCTCCCGGCATTCCGACAGCATTCGAAACATTATGATCAGTTACCATTCCTGTGGCGTTATTTATACACTCTGGGCATCGTGTTACATTCTAAACATATTACAAAGTAATTTTAATTAGGTATTTTAGGTATTTCAGCTGCATTATGTTTGAATTCTATATATTTCAAACCATCATTGGCAGCCATACCGGGAGCAGTTGACTGCATTTGAGTTCGCTTCATATATCATTCGAGGCATCTTCTTACATACTTCTGCCTGTATTCGACCAGCAGTCAAACCACACTCGTGCTGCATTTGAATCTTATTCGGAATATTCTGACTGCAATTTGAAATTCCCTTCCGATTATGGCACGAATTTTTCAATTTATTCATTCTGGCTGGTTCTACCTTGATTCCTGCTGGTTCCGAATAAGTGCGATGGGGGCCTTAAGTCGCGTACCCTCGAATGTTATCAGAATGTTTTGAATGTTGTCGGAATGCCGTGAAAATATTAAGAATGCAGTCACAGTGCTGTTAGAATACTATTCAAATGCCATTCGATAATTTTCCACTTGGAATTCGAAAGTTTTTAACATTCAGGCCGACCACAAGAATGGGTAAAACTATTTGAAATGCACTCAGAATTTTTAGAATGCTCTTTGAATATCCAGGAATGCACAAAGAATTGTCTTTCCGACGGCATTCTTGTTCATTCTGCCTCTAGTGTGACGGGGTTATTAGGAAAAACTGAAAAACAGAGTACTGTACAAATTTATGCTTTCAACTTCCTTGCTAAAAGTGCAGTTCAAATACAAAAATACGTGCAGTAGTTATCTGTACATTTTCGCATGTTTGAAGAATAAATTTTAGACATTCAAACTGCTATATGTCATACCCTGAATGCGTGCATTGGCACCTAGGTCATGTCATCAAAGATAAATGGGTGGACAGCGTCCTAAACAGGGACAGGGGCTGGACACAGTATGATATATATTTACACTAATAGCCTATTATCAGTGACTATTTATGGACTAATACGTACACGTAGGATTATACATGTACGCTATATGTGACTCATTACGATAGCGTAGGGGATTTAAGAATTAGATTTATTTTT